AAAAAGGTTTGAAAATGCAATTAAATCTAAACTCACAAATTAAGTATCCACTTTTTTACGATTCATAGAATTAAAACTGTTTTGACGTATCTTAATGCATTTTGTTCCTTCATTTGATAAAAAGTAAGAATTTTTGTTTTATTTCAAAAGAAATCGTTTTTAATGGTTGATTAATTGATGTCCAATTCGACAAGCTTTCTTGCACTTGCAAAACATATTAAATAGTAATACAAAGCCTGTCATTCGAGTTCTATGCGCTTAACGTTATTTCCATATAACTGATGGATTGATTGAGTCAATGACCTTTAGCAGGTTTAATAATAAATAATAATCGGGCCAGATAGCGGAAGGTGCAGGTGGAGTTATTTGTATTAAAATTTTTCTTAAGATTAATAATAGTAAAACAAACAATTATCCGCAATTAAAAAACTCGTTGATAAAATTATAGTTTTAAAGTATCAGACTAATAGGATATACAAATTAAAGAAATCTCACTAGAAGAAAAATATAAGTCGGTCCAGGCATCAAAAAGGATTGGAACTTGCACTGTTATTTCAACTTGCTAAAATTGTATTGACTTGCCTAGTTGTCATAGATAAATTGTATGAAGAGGTCTCTGAAATGTTGCCTAGACTATTAACAAATTAAGTACTTTAAAAAATATTTTGATCAATCGCATTGCTCAGATCTCATTTTGTTTTGTTTCCGCACACAATTAAACTTTAATACTAAGCATACGCTGTCCTTCTGTCTGTCCGTCAGCAAGCTGGTTTATCTTATGTACCATTTAAAGATTTTAGTAAATAGAGGGAAATTTTCATGTGGGAGTTCGAGTCCACTTAGATGGGTGTTTATGAAGCTCAGAAGTCAATAGCCAGGTACTCATTAGCGAGTTGTAACCATAACATGCGTGATACAGCAAGGTTTTAGTGTGTACGCTTGTAGCTCAGTTGTAAACGTCGTCGGCTCGCTGCAAACCGTACGCGTACCGCTCGCAGCAGGTTAGCGAACCACGTACACAATATGCTTTTTGGTCACAGTGCATGCAACGGTTACGGTTACAGCTCGCTAATGAGTACCCGGCTTATGATGACTTGCCACCATTCCAACCTCATCAAAAACAAAACGATGTCGCTAGGGGAGATATCAGGATTTCTATTGTACAGATGTCTGCTCTAGGTAGCGGATATATCAGGACTTACTTTTAAAATTGTATATTGAGTATCCATATCCCCGTTTAAAATCATTATTGTCAAAATGTTCATTATTATCTAAAATTTAGTCGGAGACTACATAACTAAGGCCTGTATTAAAGAAAGATTCTCAGTAATGAATCTAGTCTTGAGCATAGTTAGAAAGGGATGTCGCTATTTATAGCACATAGTGACATCCCTTTCTAACTCGAGTAACGATCAACACTTAGTTGTCATTCTGTAATACGGGCCAAGAGGTTCTGGTAATGAAAATGGAAATAAAAATTCTTCATTTATTTTTTATGTAAAAGTCTAATAATTGCTCGGGTTTTGACTAGTCCAGGGAGGAGAAGAGTATATTTTTAACCTAGGTCTTCACGCACACTCTCATTAAATAAAACTCGGAGAAAACGGGTTGAAAATGTGTCTATTTATAACTTTTTTGACGTATCGCATCCTTTTCAGGCTGCGGTTTTAGAATTAATTCTGACAGCCTGCTCTGCTCAGTACTTCGCATGTGGCTAGACCACCTGGACATGTGTTTTGTAAATCATCAAAATACTTTCTCGCATTCAGTATTCCACTGTACCTTCAAGAGAGAAGGCAGGGTAAACAGGAAAATAAGCGAATAAATACTTATTTATTTTCAGGTGGCTGGTATGGTCAAACATAGCAGAGCTGTGACAGAAACGTCGATATCGCCATACGAGTACTCAATATACAATTTTAAAAGAATTCCTGATGTCTCCCCAACCTAGAGGAGACAACAGTAGGGACTATAGAAATCCTGATGTCTTCCCTAGGCCGTCACTGGAGACAACAGTCCGGCATCCACAAAATAATACCTTCTCGATCTAGAATCAAAAGCTACTTCCATCCCAAATTTCTGTTAATTCTGTAGATTTTCTCAATAGTATGAGAAACAGGTAGTTTTGTTGGTAACACTTTATCCAGGGCTTCCTTACTCCTTTGTTCTAATTCGTGACCCGACGTCACGGCACCCTACCACACGACGCGACAAATGAATCGTTGCGGTAGCTATAATGGTTTCACACTAGAAAATCATTTCTCTCGTTTCCATCTACAAGTAACTACCTCGTCACTAGATGACATAAAATATTCTTCGGTGCGATTCAAACTTATTGTTGACGGCTGTGAAGTTGGTGCAAGTCGGAACGCAATACTACACTATAGGTAAATGAAATTTAGGTGCATGCGGAGCAAAGTTTCACTTGCTGAAATCTGCGTAGAGTTGTTGACTTCACAACCACCAAAACACTTTAATCGTCCTTATACTTAATATGCTTATTCATCCTAGCTACATCCTAACAGTCATGGATCTGAGCATAGTTTGTGTAAAATCACACAGCATCGCGCCATAAATTAAATGTATTTATTCCTACTAGCACCGTACTTGCACGGGTGCAAACTAAAGAAAGAATGAGGAGTGTTCGATATTTCAGTACAAAAACAGCATACCAAATTACGAATTTTCTGGTCTTTTTTCTTAGTTTTACAAACCATTTTCTAAAAATTAAAAATACAACAAAAATCCAAACAGCCATATCAGTTGAACTGTCCTGCGGTCACGTGAGGCATTTTATTTCTATATTCGCATAGAATGATTATTTTAATTAACGGGACTCCAGTAAGTAATGTAATGAATGCATAGAAGTTTTAGTGACCTCACATTGAGTATATTGAAGTATTTTATTTGGTCCAGGGGCTTTTAAGAACTCAACATATTGTATGTAGTACTTTTAGTGATTTGATTTTCTTCAGGAATTTATTGACGTCCCAGATTAACTCACTTAACTTCTAGCTATTTATCATATAAGTGCATAGATTTATTATTATGTTTCAAAAGCTGTATGATATTATTCAATATATTTTCAAGAAAAGATTCTTGCTAAGGCCCATACAAAAGAAGTAGCTACAATTGTAAGATTATCATTATTCGTCTTATCTCACGATGCAAATAACTATAAGTAGTTTGAAGTAACATTATACATAGATCAACATTGTATGGAGTAATATCACCAGTTTGCGAAATGTCCCAAACGATTAGCAGTCCTGAAAATTATAGTCACGCCAATGTACATTGCTTCACCTAGCAACCTAAATGGCTCGATTGAAGGGATGTAATTTAGATAAACTAATTTATATAAATTTATCTCAAAGGAATAATTATTTAGGTAAATACTTGAAAAACTGACCCATATACGGTACACATTCTTGAAATCGAGTGGCCGCCACTAAGGCACTAGCCACCTCGAATTGTATCGATTCGATTAGTGGCTGCCTCTTGTGGCTTGACTGAGCCACTAGTGGTCGCGTTAATTGGCCGCGATTCGCTATTAATGACTCAATGTGCGCTTGCTCTTAATCTGCTTTGGAATTAACTAAAATATACTAAAATCAGAAGGTTTGCATTGCATATCTCCTAGATTCAATTTAAAGTAGGTAATAATACGCAGCTTATCCTTTTAATTAAGACAGCATTTAACTTTGGGGCAATATACTTTAAGCAATCTGCAGTGTTTTTTAAAAAATGTGACAGCGGTGACTTGTAGTGAATATTTTGTTATTTGAAACTTAGGTCACCAAGTTTAAATTTGACAAAATTAGGTCGCCAAGGTGAGGATGGCTGGTGTGGCAGGTAAACCCTGCTGTACGTAGCAGCTATCTTCACGTCTGGACTCCACCGTCACTTAAATTAGGTTATTTATCGGACCAATCACACTAATATTATAAAGGCGAAAGTTTATGAGTGTGTATGTTTCTTAATTCTTCGCGTCTAAACGGCTGGAGCGTTTTTAATAAAATTTGGTATGGAGTTAGCTAACACCCTGGATTAACTTAAAGGCTACGTTTTACTTCGGGAAAATATCCCTAATAAACCGCGGGTAACACCGCGCGGGGCACAGCTAGTTAGCAACTATATATCCTACCGAAGTTTGTATGTTTGTTACTCAGTCACGCAAAAACTACTGAACGGATTTGGATATTTGGTACGCATATAGTTTATGACCTGGAAAGAGACCGGATACTATGTGTCCCGGAAAAGTGATAGGTTTCTGAGGGATTCTTAAAAAACCAAAGTCAGCGCGGATGAAGTCACGGGCAGCTGCTAGTAAAATATAATTTATTTAGTATCCACAAGTATGAATGCATCTTTTTTTATTTAATCTTTCCGAATCCATCGTGCGCAAACGAAACAATCGCCCAATTAATGATGAGTGTACTAACATCTGAAAGAGGTCGCATTACAGCAATTTCTTATTTCCCTATTAGTTGGAGCGCTATTACGAAATGCGGGCAATGTAAGCGACGCCGTCGGTTGCTCCCACGCGATGTCATCTCGACTCGTGGTACCGGCTATTGTGCCCTCGGGGACTCCGCAAAAACATTTACGGCGATAGAGTTCAAACCGCGTCGAATGTTTATTGAAAGAGACAACAGAAAAGAGAAATTATTTTGTTCTAAAACATTAACTTAAAGAGTTATAATTTGTAATGGTAAGCTGCTACCACAACTTGTAGACACTGGCGATATATTACTTGCCGTTGCCAAAGATATTAATATCGTTGACCGTCGCCTACTTTGACCCCATTGCCTACCCCGTGGAGCCTCGGAAACCTTATTTACTGACATGAATCACACCACCCCAGACGGGCGTTCCAATTCGAGCAGGAAATTCACTATTCATATTTTATATGTATACAATGTTACTTAAGAGACATACTTAACATGAAGTTATTAATGGCATTAAATTAAGATTATAACATAAATATTTTTCTGTTTCAGTGTTACTGGCTCTGGCCACTGCTCAAACTGGATACGAATACAATAAGCCTGGGAAACCCTTCGGTCAAGGAACCACACCGAATCGGCCGGGATATTCACCTGGACAATCCAGCAACTATCCTGGTGGATCAACTACACCTTCGTATTCACCTGGCGCTCAAAACGACGATTATTCTGCTTCTGGACCAACGCCTAGTTTCCCATCGGGACCTACTGGATATCCCTCCGGTCCCAGCCAAGGTTACCCTGGATCTACCAGTCAAAGACCACAGACCGGATATCCAGGAAAAGGTCCAAGCGCTCCTTCAGCAGGTTACCCCGGGTCAGGAAACTATCAAGATCAAGGCCAAAATTATGATCAATCAGCACAGAGTTATCCTGGACAGTCAGGTCAAAATTACCCAGGTCAATCTCCGAGTCGCCCTGGAACATCAGGATTTGGTCAAGGAGGATATGGTGGATCTGGACCAAATAGCTCAGGAGGTTCAAGGCCTAGCGGAACAGGTTTTCCTGGATCGGGATCCAGTTTCCCAGGATCGGCACCTGGAATTGGAGCAGGAGCTACAGGGCCTAGTGGACCAGGTAGCGGTGGATTCCCCGGGTCTGAAGGCTTCGGTGCACATGACACAGGAACTTATGAAAATGGTGATTATTCTGCTATTCCTGGAGAACCTGACGTGGATTATCCCATTCTCTCTGAAATCCCCCAGACGTCATTCAGATGCGATGCGCAACAATACCCAGGTTATTACGCTGATGTTGAGACGCGATGCCAAGTATTTCATGTCTGTGCAAATAATATAACATACGATTTCCTCTGTCCCAATGGCACTATCTTCTCCCAGCAAGTGTTCGTTTGCGTGTGGTGGAATCAATTCGATTGTAATTCTGCACCCAGTCTTTACGAGATGAACGCGAATATTTATGATTATTCTATATCAGGATCTTCACAAGGCAGTTCGTCAGCTCTTAATGATTACTCACAGGGCCCGCAGGGACCTTCATCATATCCTGGACAGCAAGTATCCCCTGGAAGTTATCCAGGAAGTTCCGGGTCATCTTACCCAAGTAGTCCTGGACTTCCTGAATCAACTGGATCTCATCCCGGAGCAATTGGCACACAAGGTGCAAACCCTACATACCCTGGTAGCTCAGGATCTCAATCATCTTCCGGCTCTTATCCTAGTAGTTCAGGACCATCTGCAACATACCCAGGAAGTCCGGGCTCGCAGAACCCGTCTACGACTTATCCAGGAGGTTTGGGATCACAAACCTCATCATCATACCCTGGCAGTACATCCCAAGGTCCGTCGTCATACCCAAGTGGAACAAGACCTCAAAGTCCAACTTCATCTTATCCCGGATCTGGATCACAAACGTACCCAGGATCTGCGAGTTACCCTGGCCTAGGAACTGGAGGAAATCAAGGTTATCCTTCAGGTAAACCTAACGGCCCAAGCTTTGCGCCTGGTTCCAGCAGACCTCAAGGACCTTCTAAACCCAACAGAGAATATCTCCCACCTAGAACCCAGTAAAAGCAAAGTAAAAAAAAGCAAATAATTAGAGACCAGTATTGAAAGACTTAGATTAACTAGATTTAATATGTACGATGAAAAGCCAGGAGCCAGTACAAGTATTAAGTTAACAAACGATTTGATGGTGCTGCAACACTATTAATAATTTATAAAGTAACTTTTTTATTAGAGTAACCTTTTAATAAAATTGTAATACGAAATAAAGAATATATTTCTTTATATCGTATTAAAATTTAAAATTCTAGAAATAATTTTACTAGAAACAATGCCACGCGGTTCAGGCAGCAGATAGGACTCAATTCCGCACCCTCCGCTATCCAGGCGGATGCACTGACTATTATGCTACCGCGGCCTTAATAGCCGTATCGAATTCTTTCAAGTATTTCTTAGCAAGGTAGCACCATCTGTTCGCATTGTAGGCAACCAACAACGTCAAACGAATACCTTTACAAATATTAATTATTTGAAAGAAGAAATAGCAATTGTAGATATGGACTTAGTCGTGGAATTTTTTCTAGTAACATTTTCTTTATATTTTAATATGTAGCAGTTAAATGCTTGAAAATTAAATATAAATATATAGAAATAAAAAGAAATACCTACAGCTATTAGTTAATTATATTGCCGTTATTAACTTATAAGCTGTATTTCGTTATATTGAAAATGAATATATAATATTTTAAGAACAACATGATAATCATGTAATGTTTAGATTTTGCGGTTGATAAATAATAATAGCATAGTAATGTAAGAAAAATTAAATGTGATGAAATATTGCAAGTTACCAAAACTAGTGTTTGTAAATAGACGCATAATACTGATTGATTTTTCTAGTAAATTAGTAAAAGTAAGATCTGTTTGCTTTGATGTGATGTAAATATTTTTCTAAATATTTCAATAAAACTAAATCTATGAGCATCAATGTAGTTGATTTTATTTTTTTCTAATAAGGAATGCTGGATGGTTCTTTTTTACTGAGCCGTCTGATATCTTGCTACCACTGAACGGAACCATGCTCTTTGCTATGCGAAACAGATCATTTATTAACTGGTATTCTCTAGAAGCCATTGGAAGATTATTTCCCTCTATTAGCACTTTTATTAATCCGTACTGATTAACTTTTTTACTTGACTTTTGATACTGCATTACAGTAAGTAATTTCATTAAACTGGTATACATTAAATTGTTGTATGATAAATTTAAATAACATAAGGTAAAATTTCCCAGACAGTTACATTTATTATCAATATTCTTTAAATAGTTTGGCCCAAAAGGATGCAAAAAAGGTCCCATTATTTCGTTACATATAAACTCTGCTTTTGTTTCGTTATCATTCAACTTATTAGATTTTGCAATATCTTTTCGGGCATCTTTTTCTTTCTTATTATTAACTTTACGTAATGAGGTTGCTGATGTTTTTTTCCTCTTTGATGGTGATTTCTGGCTAAAGTAACTTAATTCATCACGGGATATAGTGTCACATTCTTTACAATATTTTACGAATAGCACGCGTTTCGCTTTTAGGTATTCTAATAGACTTCTCCGTTTATTCATAATTTCATCGAATGTCAGAGGGAATTCTGTTAATGAATTGAATATGGCGATGGCCCCGTCATCACCTATGCGGTTATCCGCTAGATTTAAATACCGCAAATGTCTATTAGTTCTGAGAGCTTCACCTAAATGTTTTGCGCCTTCGTCGGTTATGTGGTTGCTTGATAAATTTAAAACCATCAAAGTTTTCTCGGCATGCTCTGAAAAGTGAAGCGTGGAAGCTATTTCTTTGCATGTGTTATCGTTTATTTTACAACAACTTAGGGAAAGATATTTAATTGAAGCATTTTTGTTGTTGAGCAAATTAATAAGGTATTCTTCAGGAAGAGTAGTTCTGTCAAAACTTATATCTGTAATCCTTGAAAGAGAGATAATCTTATTTAGTTCATGAATAATGACATAATCGATTAAGCAATCATCAAATGATATTTTTGCTAAATGGTCATGCGGACGGACTAAGTAACTAATGATCTGAACCAATGTTCGTGGTACGTCTTTTATTTTATTTAGTTTGATTTCAACCAAATTTTGTGCATTATCATATACTGATGTCAAAAGTAGTACGTCTGGGAGAACAGTTGCAGTTGATTCAGTTGTAGGACTTGAAACAATATTTCTTTCTGATTTTACATACGAAGGAGAAACCACGCGCGGTGTGACAGTTATCTTTTTATATTTTACGGGAGTTTCCTCTTTTAATTTCTTCAAGAATTCATCTGCAACAAACTTTCCAATGATGAAGTTATAATAAAATGCCCTACAGGCACAAAGTGCTTGTAACAATATTATTTTATCCATTAAATTCTTGACAGAATGAAAATCTGTTTCGAAATTGACATAAAAAAATTAACTATGGTAAGGCTTATTATCAAAATTTTAGTTATTTTCAGAAATTGTAAAAAAAATATACTGATAAATCGGTTATGATATGAGTTGCTCTAATCGTACTAAACGTCGACAATCTTTAGGCATCACAAGATACACAACAATGTACAAAGTTTTTTTTATTATATGGCTTGATCATATTATTATTATGGTTAGTCTTTTAAACTGACTTCGAACAGGATCAAACCTGCTCCATTCAATCTGGGATCCAGCATCTGAATCTGATAATATAACCGTGAAGATGTAAATAGATATAGTCACAGCGCAAGGCTAGCTTAACACTTTATTTATAATCAAAACGGATGCCCCGCGGGAATATTACATTTTATGAACAATGGATTACCCGTTGAAATGGACGTTCGCTTATAAAAAATTGTCTAATATTTCAAATTATGCAGTAAAAACGATAAAATCTTTGGAACAGAATATAGCATCATAGCTTTGCTTCCAAAGTTACTCACAAAGTTTATAAATGTAAGAAAAATAAAAAATACCTGGTTGATATTCTTTTTTTACATACAGCTTATACGGAAAATTGTATTTTAAGCAAGCTGCATACAACGCAGCTTCAAAACCCAAAGGCGTATGCGTATCTGAATCAGTATCAGCTGGTTTACTAGACTTGCCTGAACGGACTGATCTAAGAGACGCACTTTTGTACGGCTTCATGTTTAACACAGTTAAAGAAAAATACAATAAAAAAACGAAAATAATTCCAAATGTATAAAGAAAATTACAAAATGGATGATTTCCTTTGTAAAAAGAAATAACTTCAAAAAGCTGTCCATTAATAAATAGATACGAAACGTCAATGCCAGATTTATAAAAATTCATTAAGGATACATTATCGAATATATTCATTTTATTGAAGATATGAGTGAGATTATAATGAGACATTGCTAAGGTATCTTCCATGATTCTTCAACATGGTATCTACCATAGATATTTAATTGTACCATTGTACCTACGAAGGCTATCTGACCTGTCACCTTGTGAAGTATTCCCAGCATGCCTGAGCTCTCTACGAAGGGCCCGAACGTCTAGGGCACCAAAAAATAATAGTTATATTTTGGCCGCGTCCAAATCTGTCTTTTGAATAGGTGCTTCGGAGCTACTCTCCCAGCTTCAATTCCGTGGAGCAAAGAAAACAGCGGAGAGGTTAGCACATTCGGTTTGCGATTGTGGGCGTTAAACAAATATTACAATGACTGGGTAGAGAACCTCGAGTTCTTCCGTGCATCAAGTCAGGTCCAGCCTTTAGTTCCGGCCGCATCCGCAGACGTTAACTTAACACCCAACCTATACGCAGTTAATGCAGGCCCAATTTATATTCCATACGTAGGAATGGCGTGTACCCTAATAGTGGGGTAAATCATAGGCAGATGCAGTTTACCTATGATGATTTGTGACAGAGAAGATCAAATCAAAACTGCAGAATATGTAAATGAAATTTATTATATTCTCAATCAAAACATGTAACTATGAATAAGTACTTATGCACACAGACTACCAACTTTAATTTTAAATAAAGTTAAAACTACAACTTAAATTCAAACATTCCTTCTTATTAATAAACAGTGTTTTGTAAAACTGTTGTTTTGGATCTATAAAAGTAACCATGCATACTATCTTATGAAATAATAGAAAGTATAATCTAGTCCTTACGAGCGGTTTTATTAATTGTAACTTAAAAATAGTAAATGATCTTAGATATTCGATAGCACTCTTCTACCAACTAGGAATCTTTTTTAGATTTCTACACTCGCCCACTTACATACGAGGTTCAGGTACCCCAGAGCACGCGCTGCAGATTAATCCAAACCCGTTGTGATTGTGACAGTCACCGAAAGACTAATAGTAAAATTTTGTCAAGCTTTTTGACCTCAACACATTTCAACAACAAAGAAAAACTAATATCAGAAAACAAAGAAAAAATTACCATTGTAATAATTATGCCGTTAAACGATTCAGTCACAAAGCGCATTATGGATCAAGGGTTCGTGGTCACACCTGCTTGTCCTACTGGTGGGCTCAGTATATACCACTACAGTACCCGTGGTCCTACTGAACTAGGATGATTAAGAATAAGTCCTAAAGAGAATATTTGTTCTTGAAAAGTAAGCATCATCACCACATCGATATTCAAACAAACGTATCACTTTATTATTAGGAGAAAATGCAAACATTTTTTTTAAATTTGAGATAGTACAAATTGAGTATCTATCTTCTTCAGTTAGAAGTTCTTTTTTTCATTGTTGGAGAACGTAAATGAACTGGTGCACGAGCCTTAACAACATTCGATAGAAACATTTTTATACTGTCTAGTTCTCGACAAGACTGAGGCAGAAGGTTTCCTTCTAAAACAATATGCATCAAACCAGTATTTGGCGGTTTCATAGTCAAAGAATTTTGATAGCAGAGCACTTTCAGAATTTTTACTAACGAAATGAATTCCAACTTGTTATAAGACAAATTCAACGAGCATAGTTTGAGGTTACCTATCGAGTACAAGTAATTATTCCTTTTGATTACGTTATTGGCACAGAAAGGATCATAAAATTCTCCTAGCATTTTATTAGTTAATTTTTCAGCCTTGGAAACTACGGATTCCGTTTCCACTATAGTCTTCCGACGTTCTTCCTTCTTTCTGTCTCTAAATTTAGTGTGTTTACTAGGAGAACCATCATGTTTTGTCAACAATTCTTCTGTTCTTGTCATTTCAGTAACTTCTTCTAAACATTTGTTGTAAACATATAATCTGTTCTTACAATATTTTAGATATCTCGTCTTACTTTCTATAATTTCATCGTATGTGAGAGGAAACTCCAACAGAGACCTTAAAATGTTACCCAAACCAAGATCAGTTATGTTATTTCCAGCCAAATTAAGATGTAACATATTACGATTTCCTCTTAGTACGTCACCTATAAAATTCGCTCCATCGTCAGTTATCCTATTCATGCTTAAATTTAGTATCATTACTGATTTTTCTGCTGGACAACCGAATTTTAGTCTCGAGAAGATTTTTTTGCAAATTTCATCGGTAATGTTACACTTACTCACGGACAGATGCTTCAAATGAGAAGCCTTGTCAAGGAGAACGTAGTAGTTGCCTTGCGGGACACGGGTATCGTCAAGGCAGACATCCACCAAGTTTGAATAGGGAAGCATTTTACCAATTTCATTGAGCAAAGCGGAATGTAAGCCTCCTTTGCGAATCTCCAGTTTTGCAAATAAGGAATGGAATGGAAAACAGAAACTGATGGCTTGTATCACTTGTTTTGGTATATCAACTGTGCATCCTATGATAGCGATTTCCACTAAACGACCTGAAGTATCGTAGTATGCAGTTATAGGTACATAATTAACATTTTTAACACCACTAGTAGCAGTAGTGACGGATAACTTTTTGTTTGAGCTGAAGTCATCGTGTTTCAATTTAAAGGTTCTGTTGGTTTTTATGGATGATTTAGATTTGCTTGAAGCTGAGCCACATGATGCTTTGGGATATTTTTCTGAAAGGGATAATAAACCATGAAATAGGTTCATCAGGTTACATAAGTGCTTACCTAAAAATGTGTAGTAATAATGAATAAACCAATAGCAAATAGTTTAATTATACCCCCTGATCTTTGCATAGCACAAACTCCTGCGAAAAATCTTCAGCAAAGTTGATAGATGTTTTGAATACAGTTATTTACTTTAGTTTTTGAGAATCCTACAGGATTCTACCATTTTTATGGGATGATAAGTATCCTAAGTCACAAACCAAGTCCATAAACTCTATACGTTCCAATTTCATCCAAATCCGTTCAGTTTTTGGGTGATTGGGTAACAAACTTTCACATATTATAATATAAGTAAGAATTAGGATTAATGTAGGAAAGCAGGACTTCTTAGAAGGCAGACATTACTTGTTGTTGTGACATTACTGTGGGATGTACCTACGATACAAACCTTGAGCCATTGTTAACACAATAACTGAGTTTGGCACTTGCATTTCCTTACAAATCCATGGTAGAAATAAATCAAAATCTGTAGGAGTCGGTTTATCAGAAAAAGATTTTCCTTTTGAGGAAAATGAATTATTTGACACTTTTCTTTGATCTGAAAGAGTACTGCGTCTATCTATACTAAGGCTAACCCTATGTTTTGTTTTCGTTGCTGCCATTGTATTATGTAGGTAAGTACTATTCCCGTTAATCCTTCTGGCTAAACCAATAGCTGTTCAATACAATAACCAAAATCCGACCAAAATCACATGAGCCATACAAGTTACAATGATATTTTTTTTAACAATCATAATAAGAGAGTATTATGACCACTGATTATGACAACGTTTAAAGTTTATGTAGGTAGTAATATACATTCTCTTTGATCTCCAATAAAAAACAATGCCTGTGCTTGCTATTAGAGAGTGACCACTTGGGCAAAAGTCTTTTATTTTTTCCAAAGATCAAAGATCTAACAACAGTTTCAGAACATCATCCAAGAATTTAAATATAATGATATAATTTTAAATAATTTTTAATAATTCTAACAGACACACCTATTAGCCGACCCCCAAAGTAAGCGCTGTAAGATTTGTGTTATGATATACTAGGATAACCGATCGAGATACAATAAGATAGCCATGATTTAGGTACAAATGTTTCTCATCATACAAACATTTAATCCACCGAGATTCGAACCCATCATCCTCGACTTGGCGATAACCGGTGTCCAGTACAACCATTTGCATCACGGAGGGCTGTGTAGGTATTCATTTATTTTATATTCCTAACATTGAATTCCTGGTTTCTTAGGCGGCGGTTTGTGCAATGCTGGGCGCCCCATCTTGGAAACTTACGCAGGCTAAATCTCTATTTACACACACTGACGTCCTTAAGAGTCACACCAACCAAGGTACCTCACACCTAGTCTCACGGGTGCGAAACGGAGAAGAGGTTAAGCAGTCCCCACGGCTAACGAGCGCCTGCGGCATACTATACTCGCGCTGGAAAACACAGCGAATGCCATCTTCAGCTGCTAAGTGCATAACAATGGGATCCCCTGTAGAGTGAGTTTGCAATTTCCTAATACCTGATAGCCTCCCAGCCTAGCCAGGGCTTCACGGCAGAGATTAACCGGGGTATCTCTGGTAATCCCGCATACGTGCACAGGATGACCCGCGCTGGAATCTAAGAACGCGGCCTTCTGCCTGCATACTGTCCGCTGCGGAAGGACTGCTTGGGTGTTCCCCTCGCAGCTACGCTACGAGCTACGAGTTTGAGATTATGAGGCTCGCGCATGCTCCAACCATATAGGCGTGCGTGACATAGGCAGAGCACATTGGCGTCCTATCGTGGCTCGCCGCCGATTGCATATCAGCTGTTGGCAGCCCAAAGCGATGGTAGTTCTAATGTAATAGGCTAGTTGACTCATGTCGAATTGTATTAAATAAATGTTTATTTCTTAAAGTATTTGGTCTAGGGAACCTAAATATATCGATTTCACTTCATAAAAGCAGAAGATTGCTGTAGAAATTTAATTTGAAAAAATATTTTTTAGTCTATACTTTTTAAACACTAAAAACGCTGTTCACCACATCCGCCATGATTGTGACGTCTCTTTTAGTAAACAACTAAATGTCATTCATACATAACTTTTAAAACTTGTATTATTAAAACTGATAATAAATGAAGAGACTTAAAATATTATTCAATGAATACTTACATCAAAGTGATCTTCGCAAAAATAAATTTTACTATGAGTCGATAAAGTTGCAGGATCACTTTTAGCAAGTTCTAACCAGGTATTGCGTAGGTTAATTTCTTTCGGCACTTTAATCCACAACTTTCCTGGAGTCTTCAAGGTTTTTTTTTACATTCTCGTACAATACAATAATGATAATTAGTATATTTTTCGTGGTATCTATTAGAAATCATGTTTTTTTTATTATAAACTCAGATAGGTTATTTTCTACGTGCTTACGAGTTTTTGTTTACTACCGTCGACGTCATAGCATAGATAATCTATAGACTAAAATGGCCGACAGCGTTTTTGTATGTCCATGAAAAGTCTATTTTAAAATTGAAGATTTGTAGCTTTCTAGGTCTCAAAAAAATACAATACATTTTTTTTCGGTCTAATAGAACATTTATTAACCATTTAAAACCTTTTTCCAAAAAGGGTCAACTAGTCTATTAACTGCGCCTTCCAAACTTGTTTCAACGCACATTGAGGCGTTTTTTACGAAGATTTACTCCATATAAAATCATATTATCAACAGATTTCACAATAAGCTCTTGGATGAAGCATCTCGCTACGAGGCACTATAATATTTATTTTGGCTTGGCAAGCATTCCTGAACAAAAGAAGTGGATTGCCGTTCAAAAAACATAAAGTTGGGGTTTTTGGCGGGATTTCATCGAGTGTGGTTGGCGTCTTATTTTAATTATTCTTAAATTCGTTCATAGTGGATACTGTGAAATAAAATTGGTGTGGTTTTGTGTAACAACTGTCTGCGTAACTGAAGAATTAGTGGAATCGTTAAAATATACGCTATTGCGGTCAAATTTTATTGTAGTGTTGACTACCTCACAAAAGCTTATCGAAAAAGCCAACTCGATACATTTCGTGTCAAACACTCCAAGAAACATTAGAATGCGTCACACCGACATTCTAATGTAAAAACAAAAAGAAGATTAATTTAATTAAAGACCAGGCTGTATGGGCATTGTTCCCTTTGCCTTCCCTAAAACGGGTGAACTTCAACAAAAAAAAACATAAAGATGATTTAGATTTTCTCAATTGGCAACTCGCTGAAAGAAGTTGGTTGTCATTTTGTTGTCATTCTTGCGTTGTCTGCCTGCTGTACTTGAATTGAATTGTACTTGTGTGTGTAAAAGTTTATTTTTTGATATTTACTAAAGTTTTCAGAATTAAACCGTAATTTTAAAGTTAAAAGTGAATGCTTGTTATTTAAGTAGAAGTGTTTACGGTTATTAAACTTGGTCACTCTGCGATTGGGAAGATCTCACCTTGGTGTTGTGATTGTCAGTGACATAATGTTTTCCTCTTCAGAATTGCGTATCATGTAACTCTTGTGGTTTCTTTTGTGGGATCCAGGGTCTATTTTTGGATTGTTCAACTTGTTCATGTGAGTGTTTCCTTGTTATGTTATTTCCATTGAAAATACATCCTAACTCTGAAATGTGTTTTGGTTACTGGTAATGTCAAGGTCTTGTTCACTATGACTTGAACTGGTCTGAAAACAGTATCTCAAAGGTTATCAAGTTTGGAGAAAGACTTAATACATGAAATCCCATAATATTCATTAGTTAAAAGCTATTATTGTCTAGAGATATTAACACAATTTAGATATTTTTAATATTGTTATTTCTCAAGCTGTTACAGCAAAGGCACTGCATCTATCTTTTGCTTCGGTGGGAAGTGATTTACAATTTAAGAGGGACTAATCTCAAATAGAGATGCAAATATTGAGTTATTTTAGCATACCTGAATTGTTCAATTTAACTTAGATGTAGTTCATTCAAATTCATCAAGATTACACTAATGAGTAAGCCAAATAGAGTTTTAGTTTTAATCTTGTATTACAATACTACCATTCGGCTAAGCAAGCACTTAACTTAGTGAGTTCAGCAGAATGGGATTAGTCATTTTAAAAATGGTTGATTTTTTAAAATTACTTACAATGTAAGTTAAAGCTTTCTTCACACACTTCAGATACCAATAATATCAGATGTTTTACTGCTATAATAATATTGACAGTGGAAAAGTGAAATCGCTTAAACACCACTTTAGTAACTTTACAGAAATGAGGATAAAAGTTTCTTTTTTCATGCCATAATATAAAAACATATTCATAAATTAATATTTTATAAATATCCTCCTATTAAAAAGTTACGTTATGTTAGTAAATAATATTTTATAAATATCCTCCTATTAAAAAGTTCATAAGTAAAGGCACTATGCCTTTACTTTACGAATGAGATGTTGCTTTAGTGAAAATCACTTGGCCCGCCATAAATTTTTAAGCAAGCAAACATCAAATTATACCTATACCAAATAGTAGGGCATAAGCTCCATTGGTTCAAAAAACACCAAAATTTATGTCGCTTCAGCATTGTGAACAATAAAAATCTTCATAAAATTGGGTTGCTTCAGTTCCAAAAAAGTACTCAAAATCTTCATGCCTTTCCACTGTTGATATATACTTAAATTGTGTATTCATTTATATATTCCACACTTGCAACTGTACTCATAGACGTCAAATACATGTAAAATAAAATTTAAAAGTCATAATTAAGTTGTTTTTTTTCTTTTACAGTAAAGGAAAAGACAGCAATTATTGCTGTCTGTAAAAGAAAAAAAACAATTTAATCAAACTTAAAAGTTAATTGGTCTCTGAGTATGGTCATAAGTTGCTGTATTTATCCTGTTGTTGCATTCCAATTCATAATGGATGGTTATTTTTTTTTTCCAAAAAAAGTATTCATTCGCACAGATGTCCAGATGAACAGCCAACATGAGCTGGCTGCGGAGTACTTCTCTTTCTTTCGCTCGGCAGCTATCTCGCTCGCTCGATCCCCGTCACGACTATGAGCCTCAAGCATGCTACAATTCCTTCTGCAAACATTGGCAACAAGCTAATGAAATTATATTCAAATCTCAGGTAGATATTTTATTATTCTTTTTAATAATGGTGGTTCCATTTAACTCATAAAAAAGCAAAGTATTTTTAAGTTTAGCCTTGATGAAAACAAACATGCTTAATTGTTAGCTTATTTAATGTGCATCAACAAACTGACCCAATTCTCATGCACTGAACATACATATATATGTAAGTACACTGTATAGTGTAGACTGTAGGTACACATTTATAATTTCTTTATAGATTACTAAGAGACCACCAACTAAGTATAATAATATTATTGTGCCTATCAAAAGAGACACTTAGTTGAAAATCCTAGAATATCATATAATTGAAATCCATGGTTTTTTCTTGAGAAATCCTTTTGAGTTGATGATAAGTCCATCTAACCAATTGTAGTCCCTGGTCTGGGAAGGAAAATGAAACAAAGAATACGGCATAACTGCCCATTTGGATACTAAGAGTCTATAAATAGACAGGGCGACTGGAAACTGTGCTGTAGGCAGACAATGGCAATGTGCCTGCACATGTTAAAGATCTGCAAATTGTGGCAGTAACTTTAAAAACTAGTCTTAATCATGGAAATTGAATTTTCTGCAGATTTACTGGCATGAATACCAATATTATAAATGAAAAATGCCTTAAAAATAAAAGTCTTGATATTGGATTAACATTGAATATTTGCTAAGTTTCTTTAAAGAAAGTCATGAGTACCAAATTCATCATTCATCCATAGTATGTTTTAAATTCGTGCTTGGGCCTGGCATCTGTTAGGTGCCATCTCCATTTAAGCGAGCGAGAATATCTCGATTATTCCGCGCTATTATTGTCAGATAATGGTTACCAGTTGATAATTATTCCGTCAGCGTATTAGCGCAATTCGCTACGGAATCGCCATCGCCACTCGTCCGCACCACACGAAGATAATTACGTCGCGATTCTCTCGTTCGTAAAGGTGGAGCCTTAGGCTCAATTTATACCGCTGTAGAATGGAATGAAACTGAACGAATTTGTGCAATTTTATAACATACAAACTATATACGAGCCAAAACCTGAGCTGAGCGCAGAGCGTGTGACCATTTATTAGGCTCGTATTAAGTTTTTATGTTGTACAATTGAAATATAGTTCATTATGCTATGCACACTTTCTTTGTAAAAATTCGTTTTCGTTCCATTACACGGCGGTATAAATTGAGCATTAAGCTAGCTAGCTAGCTTATAAATGTTGTTATACTTAAGTAAATTATGCATTTGTCTTGCAGCCGAGACACCTTCACGATGACGTTCTAGGAGTTGTGAACCATTTGGAACAGCTTGGCACGTTACTGGTACTCGAAGCCAGGGCGAAGGAGATCAACACTACACATAATCACGCCACATGTTTGGAATACCTACTTGTAGAAAACCTCCTTGACAAATTATATGAATGGGCTTGCTGCACTGGAAAGTGAGTACTTTGAAAAATTTTTTTTTTTTATTCATTTTGTAATATAATCTATTAAATAATAATGGGTGTTTGTTACTTTGTCTGCGTAAAAAAATAATTGTGCAAAAAATTTTTTTTTGCGACAAACCTTTACCATGTTTCACTTTAACTTCATAGTAAATTCAGTGAAAGTACATCAGAAATACGAACTGAACGACAGTCAGAGAAACTTACTGTTAAATTGGTGCTTAAAAAAGCTAGCCGAGCGAGCGAAGCAAGCGTACTTTACCGCGTGCTCCGGGTGAGTCTAGTTTTATTCTTAGTGTTCGAAAACAGAGCAACCATCTTGTGAGGAAGGGCAAACTAAACAAAATATTGAAAGTTTTTGTATTATTACTTTAACCTTGTTAGTTTTGGCTGTTGAGTGGAAAGCCCCCCTGTAGTAGTTCTTTTATCTCCCTAATTCCTACTAAAATAATAAATAGATTCCTGATAACTTACATGATCTCAAGAAAATGCACTTTATATTGTCCTTAGTCTGGGAGATTTTGATTCTTATTGTAATTTCCTTTGACTTTGATCATCATCATCAGCCTATTAATGTCCCCACTGCTGGGGCACAGGCCTTCCCTATGGATGGAATAGGGAGATTGGGCCATGACCCACCACGCGGGCCCAGTGCGGATTGGTGGGTGCTAACGACTGCAGATGCAGCTGGGACCAACGGCTTAACGTGCCTTCCGAAGCACGGAGGAGCTCGAGGTAGTAATTTTTGGTCACCCATCCAATGACCGACCACTGCGAAAGTTGCTTAAGTTCAACGATCGCAGCCGAACGCGCTAATCACTTGCGCCATCGAACTCCTCAACTCAAGACTTTGATCAGGTTCATTGATATTCTTTTTTGCAAATAATCTTTAAAAAAAAACTAATTACACAGCAAAAGTGTAGACTACATAGTAAAGTATTTTTTTTGGTATAACTTGAATAAGCCGTCCTATAAAAACAGCATTGTTGCCTTAGATAAACGAGAAACGCGAAACTTCGTAATATAACTATGTACTTACTTATTCCACACATATTTATTAATTGTATAAAAATAGAAATTACTTTACGGGCGATAAATTGAAAACTATATATAACAGTGATAAAATCGTGTTGAGAATTCAAATCAGAAATTTTCTGAAAATGTAATACTTAACTTAATCAATGAGAAAAAAAATATTTTCTTAATATGTAAAATGCTCAACTGAAATTATCTTGTGTTATTTATGTTAGGTGTAACATCTTCAATATCAAAGTAGTTAGGGCAGACTCATCTTCGCTGGCAGCACCCGGTCATGAGCATGACGCATGAACCAGCTATCATCGCTTTAGTTAGACTTTTTTTTTCGATTATCAAGTCGTAGCCTAATTCAGATTGTTTGTGTCTAGTAAGGCGCATAGCGTGACGCTATGTAAGTTGTTTGTATAAACCATATATATAGTACCATTAGTGATTACCTAGAACAGCGTGAAAATTGTTTAGATATTTGAGTACGCTACGATTGATGAATCATTAAAAGCAATACTTAGCAGATGTCTACTTATTGAATGCGAGCCTATTTTTTTATATTAACTAAACAATTTGATCCAGATATTCCTCGGTTACGGTTATCTTGAAAACGTTGAAATAAAATGAGGCTTTATGGATTACAGTATTTTTTTGTATATACAATAACGTACTTCGTGCCGAAACTTTTTACGGAAGAAGGAATATTATGCAAGACGAAAAGGGTACGGCATTTTACAGGTTTGCTACAATTTTTCCATAAAAAAGCTAAAAAGTTACGTCGCCGTCGGCGGGAGACCTTATACTGAGAAGGATGCTACTGTTAAAAGTAGCTAATGTTGAGTTTAATTTTTTACATATTTAAAATCGCACTTCTATTCCATGAAACAACCTGTATGTTCCTCTATTGATGGAACCCTATGTAAATAAAAGAGATTTTTATTTATACCTGGATATCTGAGACACTAGGTAGGTGGCCTTTTTAAGTAAGACAGTTTTGAGGGTACCTTAAGGATAAGGTCCCACTAAACCAAGTTTCACTGTATTTGAAAGAGCCATCACAAAAGAAATATTTTTATCTGAATTAGTATTACTTGGTCGCTTTCTGATCTTTCTCTAAAAGTCTCACGTGTAAGAAGTATAACAATCGTAGATGCTGCTATTGTTTTGTAAATGCAGAGGTAATTTGTCACTCACAGTGTTGTCGACAGACTTTATTACCCTTTCTCGTTATCTAGTTTTTCTTTATGGTTAATATATTATTAGCTTGTTAAGTATCTATAGATTATCGTAGTGTTGACTAAACGATGAAGAATATTTCAAAGATTCCGTACTTCTAAAGACAAAATGCGGGAACCTTAGGTATAGGATTACTATGTTGTCCGTCCATTTGTCTATCGTAGCGTTGACTAGAAGTCTGAATTGACACTATTCTAAGGGGTTACAGACCTAAGTGTTAATATCGAATCGATTATATCGAAAGATATAGCCGTTAATCTTGATGCATATTTTGACGCTAGAAAGGGAACCAAGACCTATAGGATACTTCCCGTTGACTTAGAATCATAAAGTTTGGCAAGAACCAATACTGAAATTCGAGATTCGATTCCCATAATGGACTTTTAATAAGTAGCTCACATCATGAGAGATCAGGTATCGTGGGTTCGAATTAGACCGCTCGAACAGAAGACAGTAAAATAATACTACCTTTTAGTGGTGTTATAGTTCTAATGGTGAGCAAGGTTTTAGGAGCTCCACAGAGTAGAGAACTGGGTTGAGTCCAGTTTTTTTGCTCAACTTTGAACTTTGAATCTTATATGAAGCTACGGAATCATTCGTGTCGTCTAGCTCTCAGCCGCTTTTTCATGTTTTTATTAACCGGCTTAAGAAAATTTGCATTTTGGGAATTGTTATATTTTCGTTCAGCTCTGAACTCGCGGGATAAATATGTCTGTTACTATTTTCTTTTAACTATTTTGTGCCTCCTTTAGTGTAATCGATAATAATAAATCAGTAACCTAAATATTTAATTTCGTTTCTTCTTTATTACAGTGAAAGTAAACAATGAACAAAGATAGCGTACTTCATTATGTTAATAAAATAACTTTATCAATATTTATCATCATTCCAGCGACGAGTGTGTTATCTGACCATTGTTATTTATCAATATAATTTTATACGGTCAACTAAAAGTACTTCTAGGTAGATACCAATTAAAAATATGCACTATTTCAATATTAAATTATAGCGTTCAATGTCATAGTAGAAATAATAATAACATAGAAGCAGCACGGAAAAAAATGCTATTTCAGATTACGACACTTACGTTAGAAATATTCACTTTTAAACTGAAACTTTTATCTATATATTAACTTATATCTTACTTATGATACAATTTTATGCAAGTGAATGTAAGAGGTTGCATAATGTTCATTATAATTTCATGACTAAGTATTTAAATGTTACGGAAATAGTTTTTATCATTTACGCGACTATACTTAGTACATTTTTACATATAATATTTTAATTCGTAGTTCGTTGTTTAATTTGCTTTCAACTGATAAGTTGTCGGGTCAAAATACAAATATAAGACGTCTACACTTGATAACCCATGTGTTTGGTATTATTTTGGAAATTTAGTAGACGTCTCGTTTATCAAACCAATGCATTCGCCCAAGATGTTTTTGGTTTGGTTAGTCTCCAGATCGGCCAATTAAGTCGAATTGAAATCTCTGCTAACTAAACATTTCCTTTATTAAATAAATGTATTTAGCAGATAAAAGCTTGAATAAAAATATAACAAAGTTTCTATTCTTTCGTCTTTAGTAAAATATTCCTTGTTCGTATTTAATTCATTTTTTTTTATACACACACCAATTAGCGTAGCCCCAAAGTAAGCACTGTAAAGCTTGTGTTATGGGATGCTAGGGTAACGGATAGAATACTTATATAAGTACTAGCAAACCAGTGAACCAAATGTTCACCAAAAAAAAATAATGTATTTTATTAATTGAGAACTTCGGAGATTTTGTGTGGTTTCGTTTGAACATTCTCTATATCTATCTCTTACGGTTTGGCCGCTGAAACAGCACCACGGACGGACGGACGGACTTGTCTATTAGATAAGAGATATTTATATAGAAATACATATATTAAACTTCCATGACTGGAGTACAAATGCTATGTTGGTCCAGTCGTTGAAAAAGGCTTGTCCCTGGCAGTGAGAACACTAATTAATATTCCTTGTGGGGTTGGAAGAGCGTACTTGTTTAAGAAAATCTATACTGTATAATCTATATATCTATAATATATATAAAACTCAACGGTGACTAACTGACATGGTGATCTATTAACGCATAGCCCAAACCACTGGACGGATCGGGCTGAAATTTGACATGGAGGTAGATGTTATGACGTAGGCATCCGCTAAGAAAGGATTTTGATCAATTCCTTCTTCTTCCCGAAGCGAAGCGAGGGCGGGCCACTAGTATTTAATAAATTATTAATACTAGTAAATTTCAAATCTTAGTACACAAGCCTCATTTTAAAGTATCTTTTGAGAAAATAACGGCCATGCTCAGAAACGATAACTACTTACTATCGTATATTCATCACACAAACATCTACCCCCACCGGGATTCGAACCCGGGACCTCTCGAGTCGGCGACACCATGAAACCCGGCATGCAAACCACTCGGCCACGGAGGTCGTTAATTAGTAGAATAAGTTTGTCATCCTACAACAAATTGAAAAGACACTCCATTGAGTCATCATGATGTCATTCGTGAAATTATACCTGCTTCTAATCTACATTTTCATTGAAAAACTCAGTTATAGATGACTGACGAAAATCTCGGTATTTAGTTACCGACATCAGTAGCTCGATAAACGTGATAGTTTCAAATTACAACTAACATTATTATGTAAGACTATTAGCTTCCGCCCGAAAACTTAGCGTTTAATATTACCGTGGTTATAGTTAGTTTTTGGGAATCCCACAGGGAAAAGAAACATTTATTAAGAAAACCAACAGCGTATACATCAACAAATAACAGATAGAATTTTACAGGTAAGTATGACCAGTTACAGGTTCCCTTAATTTAAAAATAGTAAGTGTACATCCGAGATGATTAATTATATGCCAACGAATAAATGAAGTAACAGCCATGAGACAAAAATAAAAATACAATATACATACAAACAAGTAACTCCAAGGAGTTTTAACCAGTAGAAAGACATTTATACATATACACACTCACATACCTATACATACATACACTCTCACAAACCTATACGTACATACATACACTCTCACAAACCTATACATACACACAGATTCACATATGTAACTATACGTAGACACAGATACACACACTCCAAAAAAAACTATACCTGTATATTTCTACACTCACGCATTCACTGATCAGACTCCTTCTAGTCTTTTAACAACTTCCATTTAAAAAAAATCCTTGCTATTTGAAAAGACGTCGACGCTATTAAAACATTGGTTATAAGAAATCCGATCGAAAAAGCATCCTAATTTCTCAATCTAGATAATAAACTACACGTGTGCCATCTTAATCTGTTGTCGTTTTTGCGTCATCAAGTAACAAACATACAAACTTTTTTAGGATCGGAAGGATGTTGCTTGCTATAGTGCCATATGTTATGTGAACTGCATTGTAAGGCGAGTCAGTTACATAGTACGCCGCGTCTACGTGCGTCGGTGACGCTCCTGTACTATAATCATATCACTTTTTGTCGGAATTGATAGTGAAGGGAAATGGTGAAGGCCATTTATATATGTCAACCCTATGCATTTTTATCAGCTTCGTCCTGATGAAATGGGTATAGAATTTATAATTATTACTATGAATTTAGAATATTAACAAATTATGAATGTGAGAGTGTGTATGTTTTTTACTCAACTACGCAAAAACGGCTAAACAGATTTGGATGAAATTTGGCACAGATATAGTTTATTACCTGGATGGGGACACAGCATACTTTTTATCCCCAAAATATGTGAAGTTCCTGAGGGATTCTCGAAAACTAATGTTAATGCAGACGAAGTCGCGGGCAGCCGGTAGTAATAATATAAAAATACAAATATTTGTGGTCACACAGATAATTCTCTCAATGACACGACTGTGCAACTTTTTGTGTAATAAATATGGTTTTATTGTATCGCTATCATTTTTCCAAGTTCCACCTCCTTCCTTCTTGGAAAGACGAGACTGTTGGTTTTGGCTTCTTTTGTAGTTATTAGTTAGTAGCGTTATATATTATATTAACCTTGTGCTGCACCCTTTCTGCGGTATTACCTATTTTCACAGCTGGCTGGACTTTACTAGCATTTAACATCAGAGGTCCAAACACGAATTTCGACAGCTTTGTACTCATATTGCATCATCAAAGTTTCTAGGAAAGATAACCAGCCCCCCTATCGGACATAACGATATTTAATACCCCAAGATGCACCACGTGCGCTCAAAATGTGTCCCAATCAAGAAGTGCTTGAAAGAAACGACTCGAGCACTTCTTGGTTTATAGTGACGCGCGGACCGTTGAAAGGTCAAAATGCCGCAGACCTGCCAGAATAACGTGCGAAAACGATATTTTTAGTACGTAGTGTGTCGTTTTTTTTACAGGTATCTAATCAATGTTTGTTAATTTAACGCAGTTGAAGCAAATTTTGTTCTAATACTTACTATAAACTAATTTAATAGTTAGTATTTTTGATATTCAAATGCATGATCGGTTGTATAATCGTCTCTTTTCCTCGCGTGCCGTACCTGCTATATTACTAACAGCACATTCAGAATTACGATATAGAGTCATAGAAATAAAGTCTATATTCTTCTGCCTATAGCAACAAGTCGTAAAATTGTACGAGCTTGCATTTCGAACTATCGTAACTGTTTGACGCATGCGTTCAAATTAAGATCTTATTAAATATGAATTAATGGTGACTTTGAATGTTCAAATAATGCCTTATATTGTTTTTGACTACGCGATTATCTTACGGTGCTCCGTGGATCGTTAAATTTACCTTTTGGACAGGTTAAGGATAAGATTTTGTTCGTGATGTTATATCTAAGGTATTAATATCGATGTACAAAATTTGACGACGAGGATACGATTACGATACTGTCATGTTTCGTGCTTCGGCCTCAGGTGGTGAGTAGTAGTGGCTTCTTCTGGAACTATTAATAGTGTCATAAATAATAATTTATTTCATAAAATTTACAATAAAATTTCCTTAAAAGTGCAGATAGTTCGGTACTTATTTTCATTTCAATTCAAGACGTCTGAGTCTGAATGAATATGAATATTATGGAATAATTTGTATTCAGAAATATTAGTATTCAATTCACACTTGATGTGCTAGTAACTCCATTACAGAGGTCGGTCAATTATGTTATCAATGTATTATTAAATATTCAATCTGAATATCTTCGATTAGCTGCTCATAATGGGCCTACCACACGCACGAGCTTCACCACAGTTTTGCCTGCGCAGGCCGGTTTGTACACGGAACATGGTGCGTGTAGTTGGTAAAACTGTATCACGCGCCAACCCCACAGCGCGGCCTGCGCACTTTTCGACTTGCTTGAAATTTTGCCTGCGCAAGCCCGGCCTGCGCGTACTTCTCTGTGCGTGTGGTTGGGCGTTCAGTGTTCAAGCCACAGTCGAGTGTACTTTGTGTCGAGGCTCGCTCGTCGTGTCACGAGGTCGTTCGTCATCGTCACTCATGACCGTATTTTGCCGTTGAATGAAAGACGTAACCAAACGTAACAATTCACCATAAGCATTTTTATCCATCCGTATATAATTACGAAAATCGTTTGGATCATATCTTAAATCCTTAATTAGATTAATATGTGTATGAAGTTTTCTATTCAACAGCCATTTTTTTGTCCACTTTGATCGCATTAATTTTGACTTTTGCGTTGTCTTTTTTTTTAATAGCAAATACTTGAAAAAGCATAAGAAATGTTTCTTCATTAGGAAACATTGTTTGTTTCCACTCCAATGATTTCGATAAGAATGACGCTTGCGCGTACTTAACTGTGCCGTGTGGTAACGCACAAAGTGTACAGTTTTTTCGTGCGAGATGCTTGCGCAGGCCAAACTGTGGTGAAGCTTGTGCGTGTGGTAAGCGCATAAGACTCAATGTGAACCTGAAAACTTAACATCTATTGTTTAGCTTCCTTTTTCCATTATCATGCCAATTTGATGTTTATTCTCCGTACTTGAAAACTATTTTCGTTTGTTCCAGATATGAAAACGCTGTACGACTTGAACAACTTAAATTATATGGAATCCTAATCAGTCATTATAGTACACAGGTAGAGTTTAATTATAAAAATATTTTATGGTACCTAAAATATAGAAAGGACAATGGGCAAAAAACACCCAGCTCCGCCAACAATGTAATTAGTATGAATCCAAAGATCTATGAAAAATATACATTTTTAAAAGAGATTTTTTTTAGAAATAAGTATCCTGGTAATCGAAAGATATGACACATGGACATATTTAAGTAGCTTAATAAATTCATTTAAAGTACCTTCATTTTATATTATTAGTAACAATAGTTATGGTTTTTGTGAATTGGTATGGATGAACTGGAATATGTTTTTACGTTACTTTATGGCGTGGACAAGTTTGTGAGATTTGTGGTCGCTCCGTTTTCGTAGAAGAGAATTTACTATAACAAACAGACTGATTGAAGAAAAAACCAACCCAAGCGGGGATTTTTGCATTTATTCTAGCGCAGCAGAATAACATAAGGAGGCACCCTTGCATCTTGTGAAGTACACCCATAATACCAGAGGCTATTCTATGTAGGGTGGGACTTACTAACTCAATAAATTCCCTTGTTTCATTAAAGTTCGTTCGTTATAGTACCTACTTGTATCTATTTAACTTAAAATAACTAATTTGATAAATAAATTGATGCACTTTGGCACAGATGATCGTTGACTATAATACCTTTAAACAAATGTAGTTTATACCGTGCCGGACGTGGGTGCAGCCGTCCATACATTTTTGCCCAATGTCCTTTGACTTCATTTTGATCTAAGATAATAGCTGACACAATGCAACAATATCATCACAGCATGCCTTCGAGTCTGTGTACAATTTATTGAAATCTCAAAGTAAGAACATATATTTTGTTCTGACTCCCTTTTGATTTTTTTACTTTTTTTAACTTTTTTTTCTTATTTTAGGTTATAGCTGCGGAACCATTTCTTAGGCCATTATTGAAATTGCTCAGTGGATTTAGAAACGAATTGCCTTCACCTAATTTAGAAAGTAAGTATGATTTTTACAAACCCTTTAATTTGCAGTTTACTTTAAAACCTTATATTAAATGTATAACTTAAAACAAATTTTCTTCTTCACCCGTGTAATATTTTATAGCATGTTAAAGATTTTTTGTCATTATAGTTTTCGCATGACTAAGTTGATGTTATGATTTTTGTAATGTATTTGTAACTTAATATTTTCGTAGACAACTATAGGAAAGTGTATAAATCAACATTGTAAATAAGTTATTAACAATATGGAATTACTTGTATCAATAAGTAAGTAATTTCTTTTTCAGATCAATTAGTTATAGTATTGAACCAACTATGCGTGGCATTGATGCAGAATATGAAATTCTTAGATCTTTTCTTCTTAACAACGCACATGCAGAATGGGTCGCAATCAGAGTATGTAATATTATATTCTACTTTTTACAACAGTAAATTCTATTTTTTAGTCAAATTATCTGCTATTATTTATTTTTGAAAGAGATATACTTGTTTTAGATAAAAGCTCGATATTTTAAATTATCTATACTTGAATATTGTGACAGTTGTTTTTCTATTGCTTGTCAGCGCTTTTATATGTCCCGAATGTGCGACAAAATTGGCAGTAAGTAAAATAAATTCTATATTGCTATGATAATTTTTAAAATAATACATTACATATTAGGTTTGAATCCTGTCCGATACCTTGACTAAGTGTTTTTTTTTCTACATAAAGTTTTCCTTAGATGGATTTATTAAATTTTCAGATTCATCATAGTAAGGCTACTCCTTGCTTCCGTACACCGGGAAGGCAGCACTGGATCGGCCGCGCGCGACGCTCTCCTTCTGTGCGCCAACATGTCGTCCCGGTGTACCCAGCTCGCTGAGTACATGCTGGCCGGCAACACTTGTCCTGTTCTAGCTACTGGTAAGAATTTTATGATGTCCCATAATATACCACATGGGTTACCTGCAATGCAAAGAGAGGGAGCGGCCTTGCAGCCTAAGAAATACTAGAAGAAATTCGACACGGCCATCAAAGTCGTGGTAGAATAATTGGTTAGTGCATCTGTCCGCATAGCGGAGTATCGGAGGAAGCGAGTTAGAGTCGCGTTTGCAGTCTCGAGCGCATGGATTTTTTTGTAGCAAAATTTTCTTTAGTTTTTTTTGTTGCGAATTAGTACAAAATGTCCTATTAGAAACATAATAATTAGGCACTTGATCAGCCCTGTGCGTTGCTTCGGCTTCGAACTAGGTACATAAATAAAGAATTCGAAACAAAGTTTTTAAGTGAGTTTTTTAACAAAGATCGAAGGCAATTTTCATTGAATGGTTCATCCTGTTCGAAATAAGATTTTTATATTCTATTTGTTACGATTCAGCTACACATAGCTACAGGACAGATGCGAACGCGTTTTACTCGTAAAAAATCTATAAACCATGTTGAATTTACTGTACATACGTTTTTATGAGTTAACTGCACAGCTCACTTATCATAGCTAAACAGTTTATTAGTTAGTATACTGCTTGCAAATATATTTTAACATTTCTATTTAAATATTTTATTACCACAATAAAATTGTAACAACGTCAAACAACCTGCCTTTCTCAAATGGTATATTTTTTTATTGCATCCCTTTCCAGTTGTTAATTTCACATTGATATGATCACAACAAAAACCTGCAAGCTACATCTTAAGAGTTTGCTACGTCATATATGTTATATAAATAATGTTTATTCATGCATTATAAAAACTTTTTTTTAGTTTTTTTTTTCAAACTAAGAAAAACTATATATATGTTTTCATAATGTATGATTATACGGTTAGTATGTTTCACTATTCACGTTACTTCACACATTTACCTTTAAGCACTCGCCTTAAAAGCAACATATTAATAAACCTTCATTCATTGGCAGGTCTGAGTGGCTTATATTCCCTTCTACCGCGAGTTCTTAGCGAAAAGATCCACCGGCTGACCCCGGACGATGTCAACAAAGTCAACAAGCTCACTCTATTCATAGACTCCCTGGAATTCTGCAATGCTGTTGCTCAGGTATGTTAAATGATATCTATTGTAAATGAAACTTTAATACTTTTCAGTAGAGTTCAGTTTACAACTAAAGCAATAAAAATACTAACACTAACAATACACTTCGTTTAGTTTTTCGATGTGCAGATATAGAAAAAGTATCACACTTATTTTTAATTAACCGGGTTTTACTTTAGATAATGGAGACAAAATAGCAATATGTATGGCCATAGCCATTAGACGTGTGACGTTGTGATATAATCCGCGTCAGTTAAGAAATGAATTGTAAATTACTAATCAAAACACTCTGTCCCTCTCGCACATCTACATAGGAATAATGTGTGAGAGAGACATTGTCTTGTTGCTCGCATAATCATTTTTCATTCGTTTCTTTCATAACGCTTGTTATTTTGGCGAGAGTGTTACTCGCTGATCTTGATCTCATTCGCTACCCGGTGAACTTGGATCAGGGACATGATTACAGAATCGTTCTGCAATATTAGAGGTTACTTATCTTTATTTATAATGTTCAATGCATACTTGCCATCCTGTCTAGAGTACCTTTTATTTAATTTTATTGTTTTGTATTAAATTTTTTAACGGGATTGCTACCTTGTTTTTTTGTGAGTCCTCGATATTTCGGCACTATTGCACGCGCCATAATCACGGAGTAACTAGAGTAATTGCGGGTAGATGTTATTGGTAGACACATCGGTCTACCCTCTGACTTGGTTCTTTATTGCACTCGACAAAGGTCTCACAAAATAGAAGGGTACATGGTAGCAATCCCGTTAATAACAACATTGTTGAATGTTCAAAACCATGAAAGTTCAAAACAATATAACTTTATTTAAACTACAAATTTCCAGACTAAGCTAGTATTAATTAAATGGACTTTAACGTAACCGTATAAAGGTTACTTTACAACAAAATGTTACAATTTTGTCCAAATATTTGTTTCACAGGTAGCTCATCCGTCCATAAAGAAGCACTTACTGGACCTCCTCTATCAAGGCTTCCTCGTGCCCGTTATGGGGCCAGCTCTTTTGCAGGTAAAGCGATTTCAACCTTGCTTCGCTACATTGGGCATATTTTTGGGAAGTGTGATACATGTTATTCATATCGCCTTTGCATTTGAGGTGTAAACATTAATACAATATTTATAGCTGGTAATATTTTAATTAACGAAATGATTAAGCGAAATACGATAGCAAGCCTTATAAGTATTGCAAATTCAAATAAAAAAAGTTGCAATGAAAAATAATTAAAAAAGATTTACATCAAATTATTTAGCAATGTAATACTTATTCTGTAAACACAAACATTGTTGAATATATAGCCATTTAATTTTGAATTATAGTATTTTAAAAATCTTTTGTATTAATGTTTACGAATGGGATATTTTTCATTAATATGTTAAGAACTTTTGTATTATATAAAATTTAACAATATTGTTTTACTAGTTATTGATTGTGTGTACTTTTGTGTACCAAAACAGTTGTGTGTTTTAATAAATCTAAACAAAATACGTTTTTTACAGTATTGGCAGGTGAAGAAGTAACAAAGCAGTTTTGTATAAACATTATTAACAATGCACCTGATTTAAGCTGGCTAGTACACTATTTTGAAAAATCATTTCTAGCAGTTAAAACAAATAACATAGAACTTAACGATTTTGTATAAAGTCTTTTTTATTTTCTTCTATACATATTCAAGTAATCTACCTAAAGAAATTATTTCTATCAAACTCGCTAAACTTGAAAATATATACAATGCTATTTTTGTGTTGTATTCAATGTATCTGGGTAATAATGATTTATATAAATAAAAAATTGTACCATGAGTGCGAATATATGGCATTTTGTTGATATCCATGACAAATCATTCTGTAATGGGGAAAAAAACGGCCAATTTATCTCGCCAGAGGCGCAGGTGCCAAATGACCCATAGCAATAAATCGAGACAGCTGTCAAAGTCACAAAGAAAACCTAATAATTTGGATAGACTTGGGCTGCGTCCCAAATCTACGTTCTAGGTGCAACAAATGTCAAATTTGACATAAGTTTCTTATATTTATGTCAAAATTGAAACGTCAGGGTAAAAAGTACACTCAGGATGTAAATTTAGAAAGTAGCATTGAAGATAGGTTGTATATTATGGGCCAAACAGCTAAAGCGCCATCTGTAATATAAGCTTTGCGGTATTTCCCCATTGGTAGTGAATTTGTTCACTTATAAAAATCTAAGACATTTATTAACATTCCTTTTACATCAGAATCAAAATATGTTCAACTTATTACAATTGTCAAATATTTGCACTCGGATCACAGATCGCGGTCAAATTTATTATGAACATTAATGACAGTATGTTCTTTTTTTCACAATTACACAAATTAAATGAGTTCAAACATGCTGTCGTTTATGTTTTTTCGAATTAACGGGCTTTTTGGCACATGGGATTGGTCGAGCACTTGGGCATCAAGCGAAACCAGTTCTTGGGTTGAGTGACAGTGAGTTCATTTTTGTATTTTATTGGGTTTACACATGCATCGCGTCCGGGTGATGGCTTGGTAAAGGTTTATACAAGGAAGGTGCTTTTTATTGTGATGTTTTATTTTTTTCGTCCTTTTATTATGCTTTAATGTATGTTTACACCTTTTTTGTGTGATTCTTATTTATGCTCAAAAGAAAATCATTTTCTTATAAAGTCGAATACTTTGATAGTATGTCATTGTTACTTTTGTAAATCATCCTTTAATTTTGCTGTGTCACTCGATTGTGTGATATCTAAGAAATTTCTTTTCTCCCAAAGTAAATACTTCAATCGTATTTAGCTATTACTTTTATAAACCATACTTTTAATTTTGCCTTGGCACTCGAGTTCTAGAATATAATCAAAATTTCTCAGCACGTCTTCTTTCACCGAGCAAACCGCTTTGCTATTTGTCGTATTTCTTTTTAAGCAAGTCAATTTTAAACTCAACGAACTGTCACTTGACTACGAAGCCCGACTAATTCGGAACACGACCGTAGACGAAAGGGGGGCCGTTGCAGAGTGGCGCGGGCGAACAGGCGGCTGCGATGGCGTATCTCGAGTTGGTCCTTCGATGCGTCACTCAGAGGGGTCTTCTGAGGGCGGTGCTTCACTTCCTATTCGCTTATGAGTACGACGGAGTCAGGGTCGTCGATGTTCTGCTGAGGAGACTGGAGGGCAATTCGCAGGTGAGTATGTTTCCTTTAAAGTCTGAAGTCAAATAAGTGCCTCTATTGTGTACCTTGAGTTGGCCCTTCGATGCGTCACTCAAAGGGGCCTTCTGAGGGCGGTGCTTCATGCGGGGCAAATGTTTGAGTGATGAACACCTGTGTGATGACATGGAAGTTTATCATGTATTTAAGTATGTTTATATGGTATTTAGCATTCTCTAGCAAGGGCTAGATGATAGAGATTCTCGTAAAAGTGTCCAATATTGCAGATAACCACAGATGAAGTTTAGTTATCCTAAAACTTAACAAATTTCCCAAGCTAATTTGAACTTTTTCTCATTTGACATAAGGTTCTCAATCCAATGAGAAAATTGTCATTTTAATAACTTGATGTGTGGCTAGCTGTACATTGGTTAAGTTTGAATAGTCACATAGTTGGGGGGCAAAATTTTAACATACGGGCTACTACCACCAATATTTAAATGAATATTAACTTTCAGCTATCCCTAGTGTCGCTGTGTCTAATGGAGACCCTCATCGACTTGAACTGCGAAGACGTCATGATAGACCTGGTCTTCAAACATCTGTTAAACGGTCACCATCTGATGGTGAACCATCGGCATAAGATCGCAGATCCTGAGCCATACAGAGAAGCTGCCGTAGCTTTCCTCAGTTTAACACCGAGATGCTGTGCTCGCCCTTTAAATAAAACAAGGGAATGGGTGGATGAAATGGCACACAGCGGAAGAAGAGTGCTAGACTTCAAACAAGACGAGGATAGTAGAAAAGTCAATGGCGTACACGACGGTATAGCGATGAAGAATCTAGTCCACGAAGTTAGGTTTAATTACGGGGTAAGATTTTTTTAGGTTTAACAATTGCTTCCATAATTTTTCTGGAAACATAGTTTTAGAAACTGCCTAGTGCGTGCACTGATACTTATGTCATTGTCCTTTCCTGATAGCAACTTTTAAATTCTCTGTTAACATATTTCTCTTACTATAAACTTTACAAGGAATGAACAGTATGACACTATCAGTGGCATGCAGATTTTATTAATTATTATCACAAACATTTGTTAAGTGTGTTGTTTTTAAGGTTTAGCTATAGAAATCATATTTGTGCTAAAGTATGTCTTATAGGCTGAAAACTTTTCCCTATTGGGTATCCCATACTAGTGAAACTATTTAATAATATTATTATGCGGGCACTTCACATGGCTATTTGTATTTATTCTTTGTCATTTTAACAGCAGGTTGTCCTTTTCATACTCTATAAGTAGCAAAAAGAGAGAGACTGTTGTCAAGTTTACAAATAGCAAACACGAATAGCCATGTGAATTGCCGGCATTACGTGAATCGTACATTCGCCATTGACCAATTCATCATCATCATCATCCGCCTATTAATGTCCCCACTGCTGGGGCACAGGCCTTCCCTATGGATGGAATAGGGAGATTGGGCCATGACCCACCACGCGGGCCCAGTGCGGATTGGTGGGTGCTAACGACTGCAAATGCAGCCGGGACCAACGGCTTAACGTGCCTTCCGAAGCACGGAGGAGCTCGAGATAGTAAATTTTTGGTCACCCATCCAATGACCGACCTGCGAAAGTTGCTTAACTTCAACGATCGCAGCCGAACGTGCTAGCCACCTGCGCCATCGAGCTCCATTGACCAATTAATGAACCAAAATTAAAGTGTAGTGAGTACTAATAAATGAAATTATTTTTTCTAGAACCCCAACGAAACTCTATACGCTAACTACCACGCATATTTATGTGACGCGCGATTCGAAATAGTTTCCCGCACGATCGCATGCATAAACTGGTCATCGAAATACCACAGCGTGACGTCACCGAAGCGAGAAACGAACAACAATACGAAAGAAACGAGAGAGTTAGTAGACGTGCACGCGTTGAAAGAGCAGGACAGCTTGATATCCTGCACGAGCGGCTATGATACTTTAAAGAACAGCGATACTAGTGACAAGGAACCACACAGTCTTACTTCCCTTTTGGAACAAGAGACGGAGAAAGTGAATGCTGATTTGAAAGAGCAGGACAGCGTATCGTTAGGAGAGAGCAGTGATTACGAAAGCTTTAGGTATAAGGAAGATAATGATGAGGAGAATTTTGCTGAAGATGTGTTCACAAAGAGTGTCGATAGGGTCGAGAATCCGGTGGAGTATGATGGCGAAGTCACTTTGGTTAGGAGTTGGAGGGCTAGTGCTGAATCAATCATCGGTAAGTGGTATAGGAGACGTAAAATTATTTGCTCCTTTCTTTTTAACTATATTTGCATTATTTGTTGTGAAACCTGTTACATTAAAGCGAATTTTAGGTGCTATTTCCACTTTCAAGGGTATAACCCCTCTAACGGACAGAGAGCAACGGATGCATATAAGAAGGGTTTCGTTTATCACCTTTTGGGCCTAAAAACTACAAATTAATAAAGTATTTTCGCTAGTCTTCTAAAAGACGCATTACACACCCAAACAATGTTCTAATTGTTAAACTTCCAAAACTTATCGTGAACAATGAGTTTTTATGTGTTACTTCTGTTAGAGAAAATAACTGAACTTCAATAAATAATCGAGGTCCCTATTGTTTAGCTCTTAACTTTCATCAGCACTAGCTGTCAAAATAAACTGACAGATGTGAAGGGGGATTCCCCGCGTATGCGCGAACGCGTCGCATGATGTGAATGTCTACTTAAAAAAAAACAATTTCTGAGTTGTACCAAGTTTTATCCATCTATAATGACGACCTCCGTGGCCGAGTGGTTGGTACGCCGGGTTTCATGGTGTCGCCGACTCGAGAGGTCCCGGGTTCGAATCCCGGTGGGGCAGATGTTTGTGTGATGAATACGAGCATTTGTACTCCAGTCATGGATGTTAAAATAATTATATTTCTATATAAATATACTTCTATATGTACTGTAAATGTATTCTATCCGTTACCCTAGTATCCATTAACACAAGCCTTACAGTGCTTCCTTTGGGGCTAGACAAATTGGTGTGAGTGATGGAAATATTGATTATTACTATTAATTATTTAATTCCCAGGCCCACTTCTTAGCAGTCTTCTGAAGAAGACGGCCGCTTTCCTAGAAGCCGAAGTGATGGTGAACGGGCGAGTGACAAGCGTCATATCGAAGCTCGTGTCACTGCCCACTCCGCTGTTAACGTCGCTATTGCTCTGTCCTAGCTTCCTTCTGCAACCGAATGTGCCTTCTTTGTACCAGGTTAGTATGTTAATATTAAATTTGTTTTATGTATATTAGTTTGAAGTTAAGCAGCGGTCGGCGGCCATTAGATGGGTGACCAAAAATCTTCTATCCCGCGTTCCTTCGTGCTTCGGAAGGCACGTTAAGCCGTTGGTCCCGGTTGCATCTGCAGTCGTTAGCACCCGCCAATCCGCACTGGGCCCGTGTGGTAGGTCACGGCCCAATCTCCTTATTCCACCCAAAGGGAAGGCCTGTGCCCCAGCAGTGGCGACATTAATAGGCTGATGATGATGATGAAATTTATTTTACCACCAACACTAAGTTAATAAGTAAAGTTGGGAATGCGTAAATAACTCTGCTTGTATATATTTTATGATTTTACAAATAAACTGTTCAGCCTATTGGGATGAGTAAAAGGGACTTCTTTGAGTAGAATTTTGGGCTATTTTTGTTGACAAATTGCTAACTTAAAGAATTAGAAGAAGAGAATGAAATGTATTAAAGTTAATGCTATCAATTTCTTTACGATCGAATTTAATGCACGTCTCTGATTGTGGTTGTTAACGGTTATCGTAAGGATAGCTAATAATGATTGATGTAAAAAGTTATCAATTCAATGGTATATTCAAGGAAATAGTGTCTACCCACAAAAGCTTATCTATTCTGCCATTTGCTGTATTGTATCGTTGTCGTTGCACTGGCCAATGACAGCTGCCTTCCTCGTGTGACATTATTGTGCATCCTTGTCTTTTGTAAGTGAAGTGTGCAGTAAGTGCGGTCCACTAGCTCGTTTCCTTGAACAGAGTATTTATTATAATTATTGTTTTAAACTCATGGTTAATTAAACATTAAAGTACTTTTTGTTACAAGCGGGATTGTTGCACCTGAGTTTTTGCGAGTCCCTGATATTTCGACACTGTTGCAAGCGCCCATGATCACGGAATAACTGGTAGCAATGCCGCTAATAACAAAAAATATTTTAGTGTATTCATTAGTTATTAATAACATTGTGGGTTACCTACAATGCGGAGAGATGGCGTTGCCTTGCAGCTTAAGAAAGGCTAGAGAAAATTCGACACGGCCGTCAGTGCTGCGGAAGCATAATGGTCAGTGCATTCGCCCGGATAGCGATTCCCCCGGATAGCGAAGGGTTCGAGTCCCTTCTGCTGCCTGGTCGGCGTGGAATTTTCTCTAGTAAAATTTTCATTAGTTATTTATGAGTTTTTTTATATATTTAAGATACTTAGTAAATTAAAAGAGGATGTGGACGAACTGACAACGGGATTGGACAACACTATTGAGTTAGTGGACAAGGCGAGAGTGTTTCTGATCCAGAGGGAAATGGCTTTGGTCAACTCGCGGGCACCTGCTAGTGACGATGGTAAGTTTGTCCTAGTTATCCAATCTATAATTATAAATGCGAAAGTGTGTCTATCTGTTACATCTTCCTGCTTAAAGCGCAGAACCGATTTAGATGAAATGTGGCATAGAGTCCTGTAGAATGGCATAGGATAGTTTTTATCCCAGAAATCATCCTTTAATGGGGTGGATGTTTGTATGGGAAACCAATTTTTCCACGCAGACGAAGTCGGGGGCATCCGCTAATATTATATATGTTAAAGTTAAACTAATAAATTAGAAATAATGCTTCTCAGTCGCATAGTATCGGCTGAACGGATTTGTAGCAAATTTGGCACCCATTTCGTTTATTACCTTGATTGAGACATATGATACTTTCATCCACGGAAAAATGTCAGGTCCTGTGGAATTCTGAAAAAAAAACAAAGTTACCGTGGATTAACTATAATTTAAAAAAATGGCCTATATTTATCAAAGATCTTAATCACATTCAACAATGTTTAAGGCAAACCAAGTGTGGACTCACCTACGCATAAACCCGAAGACTCTCCGTCGCCTTTCCGTAGGGTAGAAGCGAAAAGACGCAGCATATCTTCGAGTCTGTCAAATATGTTCGGAAGGAGAGCTTCTGGTAAGTAATGAATAGTAATTATTAGGAACTCGGTAATTATCACGCTGAACTGAAAGCGAAGGAAAGACTTCGAGCTAATGAATTAGAAGTAATATGGAATGCGAACTGTACAAAAAGTAGTTCCACGCAAACTGCGATCAAGTGGGCGGGGCGAAAAAACTGATTAACATGTTGATCATGAGATTGATTGCGATTTCCGTTAAACATTATCTTACCCAATCAATGGATAGCCGAATTGATTTGCAGATATTTGATCTGTCAAAATCTTTTGTTATGTCTGTGCGTGTGTCGCGTTACTATCTAAGTTTAGTTGTATGAGTGTAGAACCATTTTTTAGCAGCATTTGTTAGAGAGTAAATAATGCTTCCATACCATTTCTAACTCGTTGCTTTGACTAGATAGTCAAATAAAATTCGTTCATGTAAAACCTCATGTGAAAAATGTGTCTGATTAATACCCCGCCGGTCGGACGAGGTATGTGGGGCTCTCCTACAGTTTATTGTTTAAAACTTTCATGGTCACTAGGATTATAGGTATTAACGGGATTCTCACCATGTACCTTGTTTTTTATGAGTCTCCGATATTTCGACACTGTTTCAAGCTCCATAATCACTGAGTTACTGATCTCCTACAGTTTACCCCAAGTAAGTTCGTTGCAAGCATACCTACTGAAAGACCACTCGATGTACACTCGCGTTCGGTATGTTCACCGTGTCACCCCAGTGGGCCCGGAGCTAACCGGGTACCTCCATAGAGGTATAAGAATAGAGTTCAATAGTTGGTCCAAGCATCACATTGAAATAGTAAGATGCTTACAGTTGCCCATGCGCATGCGCGATTAGATAGAGAAAGCTAGCGGTCTCTCTTCTTTCTCTTTCTATTAGAGGGACACATCCATTTGTAGAAGGGTCTATATCTCCCCTACTCTATTCTTATACCTCTATGGGTAGCTCACGTGCAGGGGGCAAGTACGCTTGGGCTCAAAACTTGTTAAAAAAATCGCTGTATCTAAAACATACCGGTCGCGAGTGTACAACGAGGCCATTACTCTCCTTGGAGAATAGTGACAGGTCTTGACCTGTCGCTGCTCAGCATGGAGTTCATCACGCTGGGCAGAGAGGACTCTGATCACAGCCGTCAGATTCCCCTACTAGTCCTATCTCAACTCTTATCATTTTTTTTCAAAACTTCAAGCCCCCCTTACTACAAAACGCGGACTAAAGTTAGTCTTTGTTAAAAATCTAATGTTGTCTTTGTCTACTTTTTAGGAAAGAAAAGTTACAGCATCAGTTTTAGTCCAGGTTTACCTTTAGTCTACGTTTTGTAGTAAGACCGCAAACGTCAAATTTTAAAGATCTTCTAATGTCAGATTAGAATATTTTTTTACGAATGAAAAGTGTTGCCGGAGCATTTTATTTTGAACTATTTGTGTTCTTTATAAAAGCATCGAAGGTAATGTTATTTATATCTTCATAACACAGAATATACGCAATATTGTTATATTGAGTGTACATGCAGCGTGTTTGAATGTCAAATTGTGATTAAAGCGAATTATGGTCGTGGACCACAATTTAAGCGGAACACTTTTGAGCCGCGAATGCCGTATCTTCCCTTTTTGTTTTTACTACTGTTATTGAACAATAATTCAGATTTGTTATTCCCTATTATGACGTCATTGTAACTACACAGTTATGTGAACAATATTATTTGACACAGAACCACTAGAAACAGTTTAAATATATTATTTAGATTCCGTTATGCTTAGTGCTAATTCATGCATTTAATGATCAATCATAACTTGTCCACGTAGCGTCACCATCCCAGCACAATCTGCAAAGCTTACAACCCACAACATACCAAGCTAGTCCTCAAAAACGGCTCATTTTCACACAAGAAGAATATTGGAGTCAATCCATAACATTGCGTTCTATACTGAATGCGGTACTGCTAGAAGAGTGGTTGAAAGAACTGGCTGCGTTGTGCGAAGAACACGCTTTAAGGCTATCAGCTGATAATTACGAGGATGACACATACATTCGATCAGTTTTATTATGACTGACAGCTAACGCCGCGGGCGGGTTTCAAAAGAGAACAAGAATGCGTGCAACGGAACGCTCTGGCGTCACATGCGTTTGACCACGTTTTGTTTAACGCTAGACAGTCAATTAAGCCGTGTGTGTGATATAACTTATATAAAATTATAAGGCGGGACGATCTATTTTTACCCATGAATGGAAGCAACAATGCAACTATCATAAGATAAAGTTATCTTCTGATGCCTTTCAAGTATAATAGAGTATTGTGTTGTTTTGAAGAATCTGATGATCATGTTAATCATGTGAAACGGAACGCACTCTTAAAATGTTGATAACTTTTCCTAAATATTGTATGATTGGGTAAAAACACAATATAGCATATAAGTAAGTAATCTTAAGTAGATTTCATAAAGAATTTAGTAACAACTTTTCTTATGAACAAACATTTTAAGTAGCTAACTAAGAATGAAAGTACACTGTACGTCCTGCATTTTTAGTTACGCAGCAATTTAAAATTAGACTATCCATTGAATTTGACTTCAAATTAAATTATTTTTTACAATAAAAATTATTATTCGTGCAAAATTTCTACTGGGATAAAGACTCGGGAGCCTACCTAAAAAGGTTACTACTACTGCACACAGAAACTAAAAAATGCTACAAAAGCAACCTTAACTACTATCACAATAAGGCTCCTTATCTCAAATGGTCAGTATACAATTGAATGTTAGATTTATTGTAAACTGTTTTATCATCGCTACTTTCTTACCAAAGGAGGATAAATAATAATGATTTCTTACCGGACCAACTTCATTACAGTAAATAATGAAGTTGGTCCGGTCCTCCCTTGTCAAGAAGATCCTCATACCAGAGTTTATCTTTAGTGAATCAAACATCACATACTTAATTCTAAGTACCTTACTGTAGTTTTTAATTTTGTTTTAAATTTATTTGCTAATTTTAATCAACGACTTTGCCATCAATATAATTTTGAACTGTGATTTAGTAATGTTCAAAAAAATAAAAAATAAATATTCAAATTATATAAATACTTATTTATTGAACATAAATTTTATAGTGTTTTAATTGTTTTGACAATATTTTGTGACTTACTTGTTGTAACAACAAACGTGTGTTTAACTAATAGTACACTTATATGCATTACAATTTTTTTATTACTTTGATATTTTTATGTTAATATTTCTATTCTTCTTATTGCAAAGTTATAGATGATTTTATTTCATCGATATTGTTTGATGTGATTGTTGGTTTTGAACTGGTAACTTCATATATTTTTCCTATAGCAATAATAGAGCTCTGTATAAATCAAATTGTATCGACATTTAATAGAGAATTAAAAAACAAAAATAAGTTATTAGTAATATTTTATTATGTTTTAATTTTGAATGTTTCGTCTTATTTCGCGATTTGTTATTTTCGTAAAACGATTTTGAAATGCTAGTTGATTTTGAAAATTTTATTTGTAAAATGTACTCTCAACTTTAACGTCCCTTTCCGTCCAGAGGTGAATTTATTTAAAGAGCTTCCAGCAATAAGTATATTAAAAGTGATATATTGGAAAAGTGTATGTGACTTGTCACATACATCACCTAAACCTTTTTCAGTTTCTTAAACTTTTGCGGCCATTTTCTTGATTTTATACAATAATGGACATATTTCTGGCATCATTCTACAAACTTGTGTGAGCATTCTCATTTTTTTATTTTACATTATGTTTGGTTATACTTACTGTCCAAATCTGTTTTAGTTTATGAAAATCGTGCCAGATATAAGCCCATTGTCTTGTATTATGACATATTTGTGAAATGTTTGAATCATGAATATTTTTACACATACTTGACTTTTGATAATTACTCTGCTAATTAAGCATTTTGTTATATTATAATTTTAATGCACTTAACACGTACATTTTAATGTATGTTTTATCTAGAAGTTATTTACTTGTCAATTTTGAGTATGTATTTTTTACTATACACTTATCTATGTTTTGCTGTTGCCGTGTGATCATTGCGTGAAAGGGATCCAACGCGCTCGTCGTGCGTTTGTTTGGTGATTTTTTTTAAACATAAATTGATATAAGAATTATTTGCACAATGGTGTTTTTATTATAACCCGCCCGTAGGTCTACCGATGCGATACGAACGATGGCAGGAATACTAGTCTTTATTTCATGTAAATACATGCAGTATTTCCGACGTTATAACTGCGAGAAATTAAGACCCTTTTTAAGTTTCTAAGATTTCGCGCGCTCCCTGCGTAGCGTCACAGATCGAGTGGAATCGCTTGCAAGGCACGGTAAATTAATGAAATAAAAATTTAATATCGAGGAATGAACGGTGAGAGCCATACAGGGGCATTCGATAAGTACTTACCTATATTTTGATTTGATGTTATAATTCTGCGAATGTCCAGGGATTTGATAAGCCTGCATCTGGCAAGTCTACTATGGATGTAAGGCTATGAGTCATAGCCCATTACCTACCACGCGGCCCCAGTTCGGATTGGTAGGTATTAACGACTGCAGATACAGTCGGGACCAACGCCTAAAACTGCCACCCAAAGTACGGAAGAGTTTGAGATAGTGGAATTTTTGCTTACCCATCCAGTGACCGAGTACTGCGAAAGTTGCCTAACTTTAACAATCGCCGCTGAACACGCTAACGACTTTCGCCATTGAACTCCTTAATAATAACATTGAGAATTCAGTATCTAATTTCATTAAAAAGTAGTGTGCACCACACATCTGTACCCTTAGCACTAACCAATATCGAATTCGAATCGTTTGCGAGTCCGAAAGTCCCAAACCTCGTCAAATATGTATGGATTTTTAGTTCTGTTCTTTAGTTACGTCCTTTGTGGCGCTGCTGTCAAGTTTCCATGCATTTGACAATGACATTTCGGTTGTATTCGAATTCAATAATGGTTCGTGCTAGGGGTACTGAAGTGAAACTTCTTTTCATGAATTACCCTAACATTAGGCGGTGTGTTAGGCATAGGGGAATGGGACAGCGCACGCTTAACTCATATGTATACATATAAATAAAACTAGTTTTTACGGGTTAATGCACGAAACTTTATTTATTTATTGACGTTTCGCAGCCTTTTCAGGTCTGCATCGTCAGAATAATGATTTTTTATTTAAAATTGTCGAGCTACCTTCGAAAGACTTATATTAAGCGTTCGGTTATTCCATTGGAAGATTTTTAAAATTTTATTGTCTATGTATGTATGTTATTATTTTAAAAATCTTCCAATGAAATAACCGAACGTTTAATATAAGTCTTTCGAAGGTAGCTCGACAATTTTAAATAAAAAATCATTATTCTGACGATGCAGACCTGAAAAGGCTGCGAAACGTCAATAAATAAATAAAGTTTCGTGCATTAACCCGTAAAAACTAGTTTTATTTAATGAGTGATGTGCGTGAAAACCTAAGAAACAAATATCATATGTATACATATATAAATTGTCGCGGGTCACACTCGTAGTGTTCCAGCCTTCGCCGAGTAACCCTCCAACTTTCATGCTCGTCGGGAAGAGCTGCGCACGGATCCCACACATATATATCGTACAAATGGTAAGTGCGTAAGTGAACATAGTAAAAATGATAGTTTTTTTTTAACAAAGCGATTACGGGTTTTATTTTAGATAACGTATCATTTTGGGGAAATATAAAAATCACTTTAGGGGAAATCATAAAATTGCATCTGGCCACTGTGACAATAACGTGACTTATGGGAGTTTTTGGCGGGATTTCATGGAGTGCGATTGGCGTCGTGGATATTGTTACAACTATCTGCGCAACTGAATTAGTGTAATCTTTAAAATATACGCTATTCCGGTCAAGTGGACGTGAGAACTTTATTGTAGTGTTGACTACCTCACTGAAGCTTATCGAAAAACCAACTCGATACATTTCGTGCCAAACACTCTTAAGAAACATTAGAATGCGTCATACCGACATTCTAATGTAATATAAAAGAAGAATATAAATAACAGAAAATTAGGCTGTATGGGCAGTGTTTCCTTTGCCTTCCCTAAAACGGGAGAATCTTAAAAAAATGACGTTTGTTGTGTGCAATGCAACTGTCAGTGACCAGTGTATCATTTTGTTATTGCGTCAGCTGTAAATGCGGAAAAGAATGATTTAATAATTACGAATGAATGAATATTATTCGGAAAAAATTAACACTTCCCTTGATAAAACGTGAATATAATAAATATGTCTTCATTTATTAATCATAGGGACGCTAGTAAAGTGAGTGTTGATGAAACTGTTACGAAAGATAATGTTACGTACTATAAAATTACTGTTAAAGTTGGTGCTGTGAACTGGAGCGTTTCACATAGATTTAGTGAGTTCGTAGAGCTCCATGAGAAGCTGGTTTCGGATCACGGGGTGACCAAAGAATGGTTGCCACCAAAGAAGGTGATACGCAACAAAATACCGAAGTTTATTGAACAAAGACGAGATGCCTTGAATGAATACCTTAAAAATGTATTAAACTACTTGAGACTGACGATGCCGTACGAATTTGCTCACTTTTTAGACTTCCATTTGTATGATATATTTTTTCTCTTGCAAGATTTAGCCAAGAGCCTTTATTTGGAAGGTGACAAGATTTTGCAAAATACAGCTGCTTACAAGCTTACGCCAATGGAGGTTTGTTAATTTATAATTCAGTAAATACACATTGATATTTTAATTGTATTAATTATATTCTTATGCGTAATAATTTTCCAGCTTCATGCTATTAGTGAAAGGTTAAAAATGGCATGCCCACCTACTGAGAAGGTCGATCAAATGTATGACTTCAGTCATATTTTGGATTTTTGTTCGCAACTCCGTTCTTTGAATATCGAAGGGAGCTATGAGCCACTTGGCTCAAGTAACATTGTACCAAATAACTTGCAATTTGATCTAGTACCTTTCAAATCTTTGTTGGACTTGAAAATTATTGGAGTTCCCATGGCATGTATACAAAGTGTTGGTAAGTTACTTTTTCTTTAGTTAACTAGTTTTAGCTGGTAAGGGGCATATTACATATTCCCTTTATCTACATTTCTTTGTTTTCTAAAGATTTACTTTTGATTGTTAAAACGAAAGATCTCTACTTGCTATAATTAATAACTGCCTGTTTTAGTTGCTCAACATTCATAAAATCTTATCATTTAATCAGTGAGTCACTTTAACAACGAAGCTGCACAAATGGCCTACTATCTTTTAAATATACTATATAATATACAGGAAATATCACTCAATTAATCTATATAACAGAGTAATTAATAACTTTAACATGTTTCAAGCCACACCACAAAGTATTTATTGGTGTACAGCACTAGTTTAAGCAAGAAATATCAAATCAAACATTCTTGAACATTATTGTAAACAACAATATTCAGAGATTTTGACTTAACATTTTCGATATAATAATACACTATATTCAAGATATTATAAATTATATGTAAATGTTATTAAAACATATTTCTTGGAAATGCATACCCAACCAATTTAATCAACTTTTGCAATGCAAATATAATTTCAGTCCTTGTTTAATGTTATATTATAGGTTTTAAACTTTCATTGAGTAAGCCACACACATAATTTTGTTTATCTTAGTATCACATACCTATATTTCAAGACTTTTGCAAATGTGTGAGTTACTCATAATTAGCTATATACTTAGTCTTATTTTAGTTTAATTTCCCTTACACTTCCATAGATGATCTCGATGGCACAGTCATTTAGTGCATTCAGCTTGTGATCGAGAACTTGGTTGGTCATTGGATGGGTGACCAAAAACTTATTCTCAAGTTCCTTGTTCACTTAATAAGCTGATGAATGCTGATAAGAAAAGTTTTGACAAAATAATTTTAATTATTATATTAATACATATATTGATGTCGATTCTGGCATGATTCTCTAAAGCTAAACTTAAATTTGACAACAGTGCATCCTTGTCCTTCTCTATACAGAATAAAAAGGTGAGACTGACCTTAAATTTAGTTTTAAGTTTAGAGAATCACGCCAGAATTTAATCTCATCTCCATTTCACTTTTAAAAGTGAATTTAATTTCTTCTAACAGTACAAGTCAGTTTTATTCTAGCTATCTATCATGAAACTGAATTCAAACAATTTCTATGAATATGGTTTACAGGTACTCTTCGAGAAACTCTCATCCATTTATCAGTATTGATTGCAACGGTGGTTTCACTCAATGAATTTTTACTGGTGGACATTTTGCACAAAGATCCGTCAAGTATAGCCGAGACTGTGGTAAGTATGATATTTTTTTTGTGTTTTTTTAAATGTCGTCGTAAACCTTTACGTGCACAGAGGCCGATCGCGTGCGACTGACGTGTCGTAACATCTGTCGTAGGCCGCATGCGTCCGCCGCAAATTTCGGAAACGGTGAAGACTTTTTCATACGTAACACATTGTAAGTAATTTGTAATTAATCGTTATCCACGGGAACTCTGCCGACAAACTATTGTAATAGCTTGGCAGATATTTTATGTATAATCAATGTGTGTACTTAGAAAATCAATAAAAAAAAATATATACAGTCGCGCGCGTCATGCGTTGCACCTTAAGCTTGGCGCCTTCTCGCTGATAATTTGAATAAAGAACTTTTTATCACAAGACCCTTATCACTTGAACCAGTTTCTGTTTGTAGGTCAGGAGCCTGATTTAATACTTAATATTCATGTTATTGTTTGAACTATGCTGAACTTCCTAATTGTAAAAGAGATAACATTATCAAAATGAGTTTATAATATTATATAATGTGTGTCATTAATAGCAGTAAATGATATAATAATCTATCTAGTCATGAATATACCTTTTTTTTTGTTGACGATGGAAAATGCATTTACGCACCGTACCGCGCGCTGGCTGGGCGCGCGGCGTGTGTGGGACTCCCCGGCGCGGAACAACGCCGGTCCTACCCACTAAAAACCACCGGTACCCTCCTACGCCCATATGGGGGCGTCTCGGGATCGGCGCACCTTAGTGTGCGCCACTTCACTGGGACGCCCCCGGGAGTCATGAATATACCTAGTCAGGTCATAAATTCTGTCACATGTTTAATATAAAATAATTAAAACAAGTTTATTCATTATTTAACCTATGATATACCAAAATGAACTTAACAAAACATAGATTCTTATGACAATAAAGTTTATTCAAAATGACCTCCGTGATTTTGAATACAGGCCTTCAATCTGCACGGCCAATCGTCTATCGCAGCACGAACGAGGTCCATGTCAATATCGGCGGCTGCCTTAATCAAGGATGTCTTGAGTGACTCCAAATTGAGATGAGGCTTTGAGCACGCCTTTTCCTCCAAGTGTTGCCATATCTTGTAATCTAACGGAAAATCTGGACTGGAGGAGGGCCAGTCTTCGTACCGGATGAAGTCGATACGCGCCGCCAGCCAGTCTTGTGTGCTCTTCGCTCTATGAGCTGGCGCCGAATCTTGTTGGAATACCCATTGCCTGTTATTGAACATGGTATGGAAACAGGTTCCACAAGGTTCGTCAGGACTGTATTTTGGTACAAAACTGCATTCGTTTTTACACCTTTCTCACAAAAATGTACCTCTGTTAAGCCCCAATAAGAAACTCCCAACCATACCATGAGCGAGGATGGAAAATGACCTCGTTGGACACGCGGAATACGGTTGCTCGCTTCTTCACTACTGTGTTTTAGCTCTCTTTTACGGTAAAATTTTTTTCATCCGAAAAAAGAATTTCCCGATATTTTTTTTCCGGCGTACCGCTTCAACAAAGCGCGGCATCTCTTCAGTCTCAGGTCCATTAGACGAGCATTCAAACGATGTCCTGTTTTTCTTCGATATGCCCGAAGCCCTAAGTCTTCATTTAACACCCTTTTCACCGTGGTTCTGCTTAACCCCATCTGAAGGGCCAACAGTTTTTGCTTACGTTTGAGATTTCTTTGAATTCGCGCCTTCACAGCTTTTATCACTGCTGGAGTCCTAACAGACCGAGGGCGACTACTTCTTGACCTGTCATCTACACTAGAGTCTTCATTGTATCGTTTGATGGTACGATAAACGAGTGTTTTGGTTATATTCAAATTTTTCAGTATGTCAAAAATTTTAATTGCCGCGTAACCGCAACGATGCAACGCAATAACTGCAACACGGTCTTCTTTAAGCGTCCACTCCATATTTAAAAATGAGTAAAATTCTAAAAAGTATACATTTTTATTTTCATGAACAATTCAAAATTCGAATTCAATAAACCTTTTTGTGGCCAGCATTCTAAAAGAAAAGTTTTTACTGTGTGACAATACTTATGACCTGACTGTGTATATAAAATATGGACATCGGCGTCTCACTCACGAACTTGTTATAAAGTACACCTAATAAAAAAGACATGACATACTATGGTGACCGATTACAATCAGACGGGCCATATGCTTATTTGACACCCTTGCTACATAAAAAAGTATCATTATTTTATTGTTTCACTAGCTAGATAATTCACGATTGGTAATTAAATGAACCAGATGTTCTGTAGAGTCGATAATACCAAAACATTTACATAATATCTACATGGTATTATTACACATGATAATGTTTCAATAAAATTAGCTGCAGTCAAGGTTTAGCACAATTGCATTACCAATATCGACCGTATTCCTCTTCAAAATACTGCAGTAGGAACTAAAAAACCTAATAGATTGTCAGTGAAAGCCGTATCAAAAGACAGGTCTACTTTTGGAGTTGTCGTAATGTTTCCGGTTAATATCTTGACCCAATCAACGCCAAAAAAGGGGCGGTATTTAGAAGGCAGGCGGCCAGTGGTTTTTCCATAGAAACGTTCTCAACTAATTCCTCCTTGACTTGTATAACTAAAGAAATAAGTTTCACACATAATATATAATTTTACTCTTTCTATGCTCCTATGTTTTGATAACTTGTGTTTCAAAGTAACTACAACTCCTCAAAACTGCCAAAGATAAACAAATTTTTATCACCACTAAAGACGTCTATTGTGGAGATTCAAACATAGATGCTATATATATATATATAGAAAGGGTAGGTCGGGGTTCAACCGCGCCTTGCGGTACCTCCGCCACGCTCACCCAGGGTTAGTTAGAGAAATACCTTGTATAGCCTTGTATAGGATAGGTTTAGTAATGTGCGATCTGTCCGCGGTTACGGCCGGGTTACATAAGACTGGAGAGTGGCTTGCAACCTTTATTGTAATAATCTCACGCGACCCCTCTGGTCCGTGTATAGAGAGAGAATCTCTTTGTTATTAGCTTGTTCTTCCTCCAGTACTTCTTGAGAGGAAGGAGATGTTAAACTTTCCGTTACTTTGTTCCCCTATCACAAGATACTGCCCTGCCTTGCAAGATTCCGGGACCATCTACCTTGCGAGATTTTATCACCCCGAATTACAGTTCGGTTAGCGTCACCGCGCCATGTCCGCCAATATCCTCCACGATATAAACCTGACGGATCTAATTCACTGACTCCGGAGCCCGGAGGGTCCTTCTTTTAATATACTTTGGGCAGAAAACCAAACGAAATTATTTTCAAAATTTTTAAATGTTGTTTTGACAACTCAGCATAGAAAAAAGACCACCAACTCCCAAATATGTGTCTATGATTTTTCTCTCTCTCCAACTGAAGGCAAAGTCAAACAGACAACCGCTGCATTCGAGACGAGATAACGGATAAACTCAAACCCATATAACTATGCTCGCCGTAAGCGGAGGAAAAGAGAATACCTACCTACATCAGCGAGGAAATTCAATTTCGAGTAAAATTCAGAATCGAGTTAAAAAACGCCCGATTAAGAACTCAAATCGATATGGGAAAAAATAATTCAAAATTCAACAACTGTCAAACTCCATCCATTCATCCACTCGCACCAACAGAGATCCACTGCCTTCTTTTCTTTTTTTTTTATAAGTGTCAAGTCGATTTTTTGAGTCGAATGAAAAAAAGCAACTATTCCTTCAATGCTACCAACCCAATCAATGAAGTTTGACAGCTACGTTGACGTAAGCGGTTCGCTATCATAGACAAAACAGCTGTCCTACGTGTGTCAGTAATATGAGTGTCAGTGTCACGCCCTGTTTAAAAACAAACACTACAGTACTCTTGAAACATTTGACTCGCGTGTCCCGTCACTCCCGCAAACAAAACAAAACGCTACCACACTGAAACTGAGCCTGTCAAGAAGTAGTCTTGTGCATAGTATTTCGCAATTGTGATCGCTTAGTTTAGGTCGCCGCCCCTAAACGAAACTTCTAGTTCGTCAGCTCCCAGTTCGTATTAGTGAATGCTCTGGCTGCATGTGACAAGATTATGGAATGCTGTACTTTTACTTAGAAAATGGTTAATATTCCTACACGAGCAAAGAAATTTGGTGATTCATTTCTTTGTCGTACTATTCGTAATTGGAATTCTTTGCCCGCGCACGTGTTGCCTCCCTCCTACAATCTGGGGTCCTTTAAGAGAGGCGTGAAGAAGCATTTTTGCAGGCCGGCAAGGTCAGGATGGTTGGTGTGGCAGTTTATAACTGCTGTACCAGCTATCTTCGCGTTTGGACTCTATCACCACTTAACATCAGGTGGGGTAGAGTCATTTGCCTACTTGGCTATATAAAAAAACCTCTCTAAAAACAGCAGAAACCTCCGAATAAATATTAGCAGCTGTCCCGTATGTAACGACATATGTTCGGTTAACGCTGTTCTCTCTCACTCGGTCATGAACTAATGAATTGGGAATGAGGGAACTAGTGCGAGTACTTTACCTGTGCGAGTTAGTTTACGATCTACATAGTTCGTTCGCGAACTACACTAGACTATCAAGAAGTGGTTCTCGCTAAATAATCTGTATAGATTCGAAACAGAAACGAAAACGAAACGAGCCCGCACCGACCCGATGCGTATGGCGCCTTAATTATATGCCCAAATTAAAAAAAATAATCACAGTATTAAGATTTTGTATCTCATATAATTTCAAACCATCGCTTTGTTACAGAAATGGAATAAACTTTCCGTCATCAATTTCGGCAGCAACAACATAGAGCAAATAGACTGGGCGATAAAATTGGTGCCAAAACTACAGCACCTTTGCCTATCATCAAACAGGCTAAAGGAGCTTTGCGATATATCTTGTTTGCACAATCTGAGGGTGCTCAACTTGTCCCTTAACGGGTTTACGGCTTGCGAGAATTGGCACGCCAAAATAGGGAATATAGTCAAGATAGACTTGTCACAAAACAAGGTCTCGTCTCTAAAAGGTTTCTCAAGGTTATTCTCGTTGGAGAGTTTGGATTTGAGTTGCAATCTTATAAGTGACGTAGAAGAAGTGCAACACATATGCAAGTTGCCCTGCTTGGAGTATTTGTGCCTGACAGCGAACCCAGTCGCCTCAACCATAGACTATAGAGTGAAAGTCATAGAGCAGTTTGATGTTCGAATGACGGAAATACATTTGGACAACGAGAAGGCTTCGGAAACGGAGCTGGACACTGCGCGGGTGTTGCAAGCCTTGAGAGTTGTCAAAGAAGGTAAAGTGCCCAGTTTTTTGGATAACAACAATTCAACTAACAGTTTTAACAGGAGTTGACAATGAGTTTCAAATGTATAAACATAAAGTAATATGACATTGTTAAATTAACTTATAGGTAAAAGATTCCAAAATTTAGCAGAGGCCCAAGCGCGAACTTATGATGTTCCGTAATCATATTGTCATCGTCAAATTTTGTATGGAAGGAGACAGTTTGTTCTTACGCCCGGTAGCGGCGTTGCTTACTTTTCATAGAAACTTTGACGTTGCGATTCGATTACGGAACTGACAAAGTTTGTGCTTGGGTCTTTGGTCTAATGAGTTAGATATATGTTGAAATGTTTTAGATAATATGTTCTAAGTAAGTAATTTATATGATTCACAATAAAATTGTATAACATTTTATATCACTATAAATATATTGTATAGTAGTATAGTAATAAATGGATGTTTTACAGGTAACTTTTCCATTAAATCCAATAGATAGATTGAACAGGTGAAATACACAGTATTTTATATATATTAGAAATTGCATTTTGTAAATAACGCTTTTTTTAAATTTGCCTGCGAAAATTGGGATCTTACGTTTATGAACTATACTACACCCTGTTCATAAAAACATGCCTTTTTGTTTTAATCAAAGTGCTACCGACGCCGACGACATATAAGCTTTTCTGTCATTGGCTGGATTATGCTGTTGTCGTAACTCCATCTAATTAGTAAAAATAACATTTTCGAAAATTGACCTTGTCTTTTAAATATTAAAGTTCATTTTACGTGCTCAGATGTAAAGAGCATTAATCGGTTCCTATGTGAGATAGTAAAACTAGAGAGTTATGACTCGTTCTTATAACATACCAGAATGTATAAAAAATGAGGTTTTCTTAAAGGTAACTATCATCTGTCTGTGTCGAGTTTTTAAGAGTAATAGACAAAAAACAGTTTTTTATTCTTTCTGAAAATTTTAATATTTTAAAAAATAACTATTTTTTATTCTCCGGGGACAGCGATTTGTAAACTTGACATCAATCTGTCTTTTACATTCCTCATAAAGCATGATAGGGACAGACTGTTGTCAAGTTTACAAATAGCATAGGAATAGCCAAATGATACGCCGGCATATCGTTTGTGCGCTTTTCGATAGATAAGATTATGAATTAAGTGCGAAAGAGCAACTCAATAGAGGCAGCTGGCCTACTCTTCGTATTAATTCTTGAAAATACACTTTGGTAGAACTTTATTTACTACACAGAAATATGCACATTTCATGGTGAGAATTTAATAAAGATGAACAGGGTTGAGTTACGGTGTGCCAAGAAATGTACATCTTTTTGTGTGAAAAAAAAAAAGTTGATTTTGTACCTAATTCTTTTTTTAAAAGTGCGCACTTATCTTAAATTCCACGTCAGGTCTCGGTAAGAATTGATCCTAAAACCATTTTCATGTAGCATTAACATATAACATTGTCACAAAATTTTATTTTAAATTTCTTCTTTGCACTCCAGTGTGTGTAAACGGACATTAAAAATTGATTCTGATTTTGTTATAATGTTAGATGGCAAATAAGTTATTGACAACTTTTTTCTGAATGTTATTTTTGATATATTCGTTGTATATTGACATTTTAGACTTTATATTTTTCTGTTGGTAATTTGTTAATTTTGTTGTATTGTTATTGGAGGTATCTGTGAAAACTTGACACGAATAAATAAGCCGGGTCTCCAGCGCGTGTTTTGCCCTACACAACCAAACAAAACATATCAACATTAAACAAAATCGTCTACACAAAATGTTGTTTCACTTCACATATTGAACAGGCATCTTCTAGGCAGGCGTGTACCATCCTAGGCCTCATCATCGCTTTCAGGCGAGATTGTGGTCAAACGCATTGCCTATTATGAATTAAAAAAAAAAACACATTGCATCATCAATGTTTTGCTTTCCGAGCCCGATGGAACACATTGGGCAGTGTATTTTTTCATCGGACATTTTATTGACAACTTGCTAGGGGCTCCGTTCCAAACGTACGCTCGAAGTACAAAATTTCATTCTGACGTTTCAATTTTGACAATATACGAAACGTTTTCAACTTTGACATTTGCTGCACCTGGATCGTAGCTTTTGAACGTAGCCCTGTGTATTTTGTGTACGACAGCCATGACAGTAGACGGCGTGTGTAGAGAAACATGTTTCAGAAACAAAATTTTGTGTATAAATGTGTTTTTGTTGAATGTTTTCAAAAAACTTTTGCTGAAGACCCGGCTTAACTATGATCAAATCTATATTTAAGTGCATAAAAAAATGAATTTGCAGTCGTTAGCACTCACCAATCCGCGCTGAGCATTGTTAGTCATGGCCTAATTAATCCCTATTCTGGCCTGTGCCTGACATAAATATGAGACTGTGATGATGGTACAATGACCAGTACGATGAGAATAGGACAAGAGAAATATTTTTTTTATAAAAAAGAACACGATTTATCTAATGTTGATTTAAAGAATATGTTCTCTGTTCTTCCCGCTCATTTTAAAAGTTAGTTTTAATTGATTGCTAATTTTGTTAATTTACCAAACACTAAATCTCATATTTTGATCTGTTAAATCGAGTTTGCGGAAATACGTCCATACATAAATGTGTGATAATATTGTAACATTGATATACATACTTGTAAATAGTATTAAAATACATACTTGTAAATAGTATTAAAATAAGGGTACCGATTTGTAATACACCGACTTTAATTTACATGGGAACGACCATAATTCTAATCACGCTGGTTTGTAATATTAAACATAATTAATGTTCTATTTTTCTACTAATTAAGGCAGGTATTAGCTATTGATATTAAAATGATAAGAAAAATGTTTTATATAAATTTTACTTAGCATAGCTCGAATTGTACAAAATTAAAAGACTAGACGTTTTACAGAAATTTCTGTAAAACGTCTAATTATAACATAAATAATGACAATGTACCAAGGTAACTTGAATGTCATCAAATCAAGGATTACTGTAGATTCGCTAGTAGTTTGTATAAAAAGTAACTTTATATGTTATCTTGGATTAAAACAAAAAGGGAAGATACGGCACTCGCGGCTCAAAAGTGTACCTTAAATTGTGGTGCATGACCACAATTCGCTTTAGTCCCAATTGGATATTCAAACACGCTGCATGTGCACTCATTATTACAATATTGCGTAGGTTCTGTGTTATAAAGATTAAAAAATGCCTTTGATTTTTTTATAAAGAACACAAATAGTTCAAGATATAACAAATTCCACGACAACACTTGTCATTCGTACAACTATAAAAAAAAACTCAATAATCACGGTTTGTTCATGAATGTTATTGTCGCTCGCTCTGTGTTGAAATGTACAGTACCCCTAGCACGAACTATTATCGAATTCGAATAGTTTGCGAGTGCGGAATTTCATTGTAAATTTTTGTATGGTATCTTGAACAACGGACGTAACGAGAACTAAAAATCATGACATTTCGGACTCGCAAACTATTCGAATTCGATAATGGTTCGTGCTAAGAGTACAGTTATGTTTCGTCTGCTCAATCGAATGTTTAATTTACAGAAGTATGCGTGTGTGAGGGTTGCGTATGTAGTTGAGTCGGAGCATATTTTATTTGATGCTAGTATTAGCACAGGTTGCGGCACGTAACTCTAGCGCTGAACAAAACGCGGAGGGGATAGCTGCGCATGGGTACGACTGGAGAGCCAATCGGCGCAACGCACACCCACCCGCGCACCTCGTTTCCCCTCAAGACATCTTAATTTTTACTTCTGCGCAATAACGGTCAGCGCTAGAGTTTCGTGCTGCGACGTATATCTTAACTTTTTGTTTTAATCCAAGTACCTATGTAATGTATTAAAGTAGGAACTACGTACTATCGCGGAATTTTGCGCTCTGTCACTTGGCGAACAAAATGCTTTGAACGGTTTTTCTACAGTAGTTCTTACTACGCCCCGCCTTCGCGTCGGACGCGCCAATTCGGGCCGCCGCACAAAAGTAAGACAGAGAGCATTTCATTGATTGAATAATGAATTAAATTCTATTTGTTTTAGTTGCAATTTGTCATCCGCATCGTGATCGCGACAGCGCTATACGAAAAAGTAAGACAGCGATAATTACATGTCTATGAATGAATTTTTACTACGCCGCTACCGCAAGCGATTATGGCATTATGGGTGACAGAGCGGGTCTTTCCGCGAGTGTACATGCAGTCATATATTTCTCTTATACTCTATTCAACTTCCTCTGAACCTCAACTCCTTCTGCAAACGGTAATCAAACCATGAAAGGTTTTATAATCGGTCGAATTTTGAACGCACAAAGTTCATAATTAAAAAAAAGTGACACTAAAAAGATCTAAAACTGTATGTATTTTTAAACTTTGAACGAATACTATGACTTTAAAGAGTAGTGATAAAGCAAATTATTTACGTTGAAAACTAAATTTTTTTGGGTAACACCGGCCATCTTCACTATATAGTGTTGTTGAATATATTTATCAACCGTTAATTTTAACTATATAAACAAATAAAAAAAAAACATATATTCGGTAAATATTTTCAACCAATCCAACTAATCCAGATGAATTAAAAATATTGACAATAAATCAACTTGTGAAAAATATTCAGCTAATGTATAATTATGAATAAAAACATTGACTGATATTTTCAAGCATTAAAATTGTCTGATATTTTTATTCAACTATCAACTTTTAACTAATATTTTTTTTCCAACCATTAACGCCACCTTTAATCTTTACTCTTGATTAATAGTTATAGGAACATTGGTTTAATTGTTTACCTTTTGTCTCAGAGGAAATTGAATAGAGTGTAGGTATTCTCACATCAGAAGTATGTGCGTGTTAATCACACATTTAATTGGCTTTATTGAATTCTAATACGAAATGAGGATACGGCCCACTTAGGGACGTCAATTAAATTGAATGCTTATCAATCAAATCAAAATAATTGACGTCTCTGGATAGGTACTAAACTTTAAAGTATTATCATTGTGATCTTTTTGTTGATAATTATGTTTGATTTAATTGAATGTAAGCACCTAAGTTTATTGAATTTT